ACTTCGTAGCAGTTTCCTCCGTACGAGGGGTACGAAGGACCGTATGAGGGCTTGGCAATGCTGTAGTATCCTCCCTTGGATCCCTTTCCTCCCTTGCCCCCGTATTGGTAGCCGTAAACGGGCTCGGTGAAAGGGTACCCGTAGTTGCCACGGGTCGATCGTTCTTGATCCTCAGAGGCTTCGACCTCGACCAGAGAGATGGAGGCCTCAATGGCAGAGTCCTCCTTGCCGTAAACGGTGGCAAAAATATAAATCAATAGGGACGCGGTAGAGTACTTCATGGTGAAACAATGGCGGTCTTTTCTTGGAACTTAACAGCACGCACACCAATTGTTGTTTGGAGTCTTCGGAAGGTAGATTTAATGAGATGTCAAAGGGGTGGTTGCTTGCCCTGGCGGCTGTGACTTGGAATCACGGAAGCAACGGTGTCCTCTGTACGGGTTGAAACTTCAATGACGACCGCACTCTTTCCGCCGAGCATATTTTCTCCCATACAAAAACACTCGGCCAGTATCGATTCAAAATCTGAAATTTTTCGGAACGCCCAAATTTAGCCAGAAACCCTTCAGTATCGGTCGACTAGCACGTCTTGAGTTACATACTGGACAATCGCCTCTGTCGTATGCATCGCGTGCCCGCCATGAAAACAGTGCCTGTGGTAGGAACAGCACATAAGATTTAGGCCTGCTAAAACGACTCGAGGGGAGATGGCGTAGCTCGCGCTCATATATATATATGTTCCGTCCGGTCACAATTTCTTGCATACTTAAGACGCGCGTTCAAACGCATGGAGTATGCAACCCCGATCTGTTCGTAATTTTTTGGTAATAATCAAACAGATGACCACGATTGGACCGTTCACTAGGTTACAAGACTAGCGCGCCCAGCGTTCCATCCAGCGGTGCGAGTATTGAAGGGTTTCTACTGTAACAATCTTCCGTCACGGATTGCCACATCACAAAAAAACACGGATGGAACCCCCATCTCACAAAAAACTGTCTTCGTATGAAAACGAGAGAAACATGAGGTCCCTAACTGTCGTCGCGTACGAGTAATTAAAAAAGTACGTACGGTACCGGACGGTTCCGGTAGGTCTTTCTTTGGCCGGCCGCCTTCTTATTATTCGGTAGCATACTTCGTTGAAGTACTCTCTTACTCGTACTTCGTATTATCGTATAACGTTCGATCGTTGAGTCGTGCTTGAAATTGGAAAGCAGAACAACGTGACCGGTACAACTCGTTCCCATACGATTGGTGTAGCGCCACCGTTTGTTTGTCTTCGCGACGGACAGTGAATGATATTCATAAGTTATTGTCTTGAGCCGTCCATGCATACCGTACGCGCTAAGATAGGGAAAGGTATTTAAAATGACGCCAAACCGATGGAAACCAGAGTTTGGTATGGAATCGCAGTGCCGACGAGTGCCGATCCGATGATCCTTTCCGAGTAAACTTTCTTTTGTTGGACTCGATGTGATTTCACTCTTGTGCCTTTCGCTATGAGGCCAACCTGCTATCTCGCTTTGCGGGATCAGTTTACAAAGAAATCGCAGTGGTATCATCAACAGCAACAATCAACCATGCCAAAACTGAGATGATTCCGAGCATTTGTTGGAACTATGCGACACCGACCCAAGCAGAGTCTGGAAGAACAGGTGTCACGGAACCAGCTACGAGTACGAGTTCTGGTTCCTTCACACAATACGAACCAACAAATCCATGCCGCTTGTCGGGTTTTCAATTTACAAATCCCGACACAAGACATATTTCCGATGTAGAATACGACAAAGTGTATGGAACTTTTGCAATGGGCAATTCAAAGAAAGCATTTGCGCAGGTGCGATGTTTTTAACATTCATCGCTGCATGTGATTTTGTGTTGTTACTCGAATAGATTTTTCTTTCTAAATGATATCATTGCAAGAAACAGTACTATTCTAAGATCGCTATATTACAGCACCGTGCTTTTGAGACAATAATAAAAGGCAATACCGATGAACGTGGAGACGGCGTACCCGATGTTGCCGACAAGCAGGGCCGGGACCACCAGAGAATCCCAGCTCACGGACCGCGCCAACGCGACGGACGTGGGCGGGCCACCTATGGCGCTACTCGAGGCCACCAGTAGCCGCTGTGGGGAAAGTACCGTGCTGAGCCATCCCCTTGTTGGCCTTAGCTGGCCTTCTCGGCGCTGTTGCCTCTTTCTGCGGAACCGGCTCTGCTCGTGCCCCAGCTGATAGAGGGCCGACAGAATACCTCCGTGAACCGCGTACAACAGGATGGAAAAGAGCGACAGCGGAACCAGGGCCGACGTCATGGACTTGGCCACCTTGATTCCCGGGGCGCCGGCCGTGGTGAAGAATAAGTAGAGGCAGAATGTTCCAAGCGTGTCGCAGGTGCTCCGGAGCGCTCGTTTCGAGGCGGAGGAGGGGAACAGCGGGAATTTTGGTTCCGACATCGGTCCACCGGCGGTGGAGCTGGAGATGCTACCGTCAGTTTCACGGGTTGGCAATCGCGGGGCCACGATTCCGGCCAAGACCACAGCGAGGAGGGTTACGACGGGGATTTGCGAAGATGGGCTCTTTAGAAGGCTACTTGCAACATAATCCCCCATCCATAGCAGGGTCGTTGCCGCGAAGAATGCCATGGAGATGGAAGACACCGTCATCGGTTCCACGGCGGCAGAAGCAACACCACTGTCCTTGTTCTGGCCACTATCGTTCCGGGCCTCGCTGTTGGTTTGGGAAGCATTGCTGTCGGTAACGTCTGGATATCGGCTGGCCAGAAGATTGGAAATCGGAAAGTAGACGAGTGCTCCGATGTTATCGATGCACAGCCCCACGGCGATCGCTTCGGGGCTCGCCTCGAGTGCTGCACAGACGGCAACGTAGTTGATCCCACCCCCGATGTTTTTGGCCAGCAGCGCGGAGGCAATCGCCAATCCGTCGTGGCCACCCAGTGCGCAGCTCACCAGGGCCCCCCCCGCCAGGTTCCATCCGATGCATCCTCCGGCCAGGGTCGCTAGGGAGGCCAGACCGAAACCAACAACGAGTGGGGCTACCGACGTCGACGACGAGGAGGACGAAGCTTCAACCAGCTCGTCACCGCCACTAGTGCCGAACTCAGCCCCCAGGAGAATCCACGGAGTTGCAAAGCGGATGGCCATCGTCTGCAGGCTCCTGGAGGTGGGCGTCCCACCTTGTGCCAGCACCCCGACGCTGGCTAGAAAAAAGGTCAGGGCCATGGCCGTCACGGGTGCTCCCAGCAGCCTACCCACGCGGGTCGAGCGACCGAGCCGTTGGGAGGCTACTGACACCGCGGCAAGCGCGGAAAGGTTCCCCCACTGGTCGCCAGCGGCCACGAGGCTGCCGCTCCCGAGTGCGGTAGGCGTTCTCCCGGAGGCTTTGCAGTTCCAACTCGGGGGTGGAGAGGACCATACTCCTGTTGGTTTCGCCGAGACTATTGTTTGCACCGACAGGTTTGGATAGCGATTGGTGTTCTGTTTGGTATCGAGTCGCGTGGTCTGTAACAAGTGGGAGATATTTGTTGGTCCTCGGTGAAAATGATGTCGCTTGAGAGAAGAGATACTAAATGGTTCTACCGAGACCATCGAAGACGTAAGATGCAGCATCAACAGGATTGTCGAAGATATGTTTCGCACGAAAGAGGTAGATACCGCCGAAACGGGCTCGGATCTCGCTCTTTTCGTCGTCATAATGTTCCCACGACCATTGCCGCTTCTGTCGAATATACCAATCAATCACCAGAACAATGTAGTTTCGGACAGATCAGCAAGCTTTTGCTTGGTTTTTGGTAATGAATTACAAGACGCTTCTAGAAAAAGGTACGATCACTGGCAGTATTAGTGCTTCTATGATTGTTGGTTTACCAACTTTTGGAACGGGTTCAATGGTTGTGTATCTTGCTGAACAATACCGCTACCTAATGGTACCACCGATGGATCATTGCAGATGTCGCCGGGATTCATTATTTTGAAGACATTATTTTTGTTACTGGGACGGACCGTACGACATGGTTCGTACGTTGCCGTTGGGTGTCGTGTGGACAGACAGCTAGATGATTCCTCATACGATATGTATCATCAACAGATACGTACATTACTGTATGATTTTAGTGATACTGTACGTACGTACTTCGTACTGCACTTCTAATCATCAATCATCATGATCATCATACGTACCAAGTACTACACACAGGGTTCATAATTTAGATCTCATATCTCATACAGTCAGACGTGAACATTTTCGTAGATATTTTTCGGATATTCTTCATGTGAGGCTATTTCCTATTTCACGAGTAGACACGAGTGAGAAGTACTAACACTACTTCGAAGCAATACGAAGTACGGTACGTAATATGTACTAGTAGTAGTTCCGACAGCTGTGTGGAACGTTCTTTTTGGTTGATTTGTTTTCTGCAGGCATCATCATACGGTACATGTCTCACAATGTTACATGTTACATCGTGATTTTTGCCTTCTTTCGCAAGCAACACGAATACGCCACAAGGCAAGAGGTAATACTGCCACAAGCTACAAAACACAACGAGGAAACGATGAGTTGCTTTCTGCCAGCCGAACATACTGAAGTCACCATGCGGATGGGGGCGGTCATGTTTTTGGGTTACGCAGCGACCTTTTCGCAAACCATCTCTGAGGCCGCCATCCCCATCGAGCAAAATATTTTCCTAGGAATCTTCGTACCATTTTGCACTATGCTATTTCCAACACTTATGTTCTCCTTTGGGACGTTTATCCTACCGTTTTGGTCCATCTTTTGTTCAATTCAGCTGTTATCGACCCTACTGGCGCTGATTGCAACAGAGCTCGGAAACGCCGCTTTTGTGGTTGCCTTTTGCTTGGTTTCTTTCTGGGTCTCCTTCACTCGATTCGACAAAGTAGAAGGATACAAGACAAGCCTGATTGTTATCGGGATCGTAATTCAGACCGTGCTCAGTTTCCCGAATATCACACACATGCAGGACGGGATCCGCTTCTTCCAATCTTCGACCGCTCCGAGTGGCTTCCCGCCCCTCCTCGAAGAGCAACTGTCACTTCTGCTAGAAAGTGCCATACATGAAGCCACAAATCTCGGGATTGGAACACACTCTATCGAAATAAATTCGTCGTCAAGCAACAATTTGTCTACCTCGGCGTTGGAGGGGAGGACGGCCGAGATCTCCATCTACGATGACGGTTCGTCTTTGACGTATGTTGAGGGGGGCATGTGGCTTGTCGGAGCCGGGTGGAATATATCCGAGGGTAGTTACAATCTACAGAATCCATTTGCCAAATTCGCCCACACTTTGGCCCTAACATTATGGATCACTCTGATCATCTCCTTGGCAGTGTTAATGCCGCCTTTTCGAACCATGAGGAGTGCGGTCTGGAGAGAAATGATTCCAGAAGCAATGAATGATGCCGCAAGGTCCATCCGGTTGCATGCGGAGCGTTTGGAAAGCGGAAGGCAGGAAGAAGCAGGGGTTGAGCAATCGGAGACCAAAGCCGAGGATCGAAAGCAAGCGAAGAAGATGCAGTCGATAGCAAGACTCGGAACTCGCGGAAAATGCGTGAATCACATCAATGCCCATTTTGGGGGTAACCTGGCGAACTATAGCGTGTTCGAGCCGAGGCTTTTGGCGTGCAACCCACCAGAATGGACAACTGGTACCTTGGTGATGCTATCGAAAGCGGTCTCGAAGTGCGTGAGAATTGCTGTGGGGATCGAAATCTTGGACGAAACCAATAGTCATGATCATAGGAGCAAAGGTCAAGGCGGGCGCTGGCATAAAAATATGGGCTGTTACCTAGAGGTAGCTGAAGAGCTAGAACTGTGTGGGAAAGCCCTCAAGATTGGTGACGCAAACCTACTAAAGGATCTCGGGCAAAAAGCCCATGATGCAGAGTCTCCCACTGAAGAGTCGTGTGATTACTACGATCCGTTTCATTTCCGCGAGTACATAGACGGCGTCATTACCCTCAGCAAAAGATGGCTCGAGCAAATGGATCCGAGATCTAGCGAAAATTACTGCTCTTGGCAATCGCTAACTGCAGCACGAAAAAACGGAGAGCCCTGGATATGGATGCAGTTTTCCCACTACGTGTTCTTTGCAAAGACGCTTGCGAATCTGTTTCGCAAATCCTCCTGGCACGCCCTTCTGAATCCCTCGCAGCACAATACCCTGCCGCAGGTTGTTTGGTGCGCAAAGTTCGCCTTGGGACTGACGCTACTGATGGTATTTCTTATTTACTGGCCAGCATACAAGACCGGATTTGTTGTCATGATGAACGAGGACGATCCCTTTCGATCGCTATTTGCACAACAGAATGGTGGTTGGGCCATGATAGCCTATGGTTTTGCCACACCCCAGACAGTAGAGGGATCTGCGAAGAAAGGCTTGCTGAGAATGCTTGGGACAGTCACCGGGGCTTTCAGTGCATGGCTTGCCCTGATTGCTTGCGCAAACGAGAGCTTTACATTCAATTACAATAACTATGCGATTGTTGCGTGGCTGACAATTACGTCACTCCTCGCTACCTTTGTTGGTACGGAGAGGGGATTCAATGCCCGCATGGGTCTTTCCAGTGACTACGGCTTTGGTCCGATCTATTTTGTCGTCACACAGATTATCATAGTCAGTTATGGATATTATTTATTCGACACAGCAAAGCCCTCCGATATCGCAATCAACCGGATGATTGCCAACCTGGTGGGCATATCAATGGCCATCGTCGTCGGTCTCCTCCCACCCGGGATCTGGGGCGGGAATCCTCGCCACTGTCGAAACATTGTCCGCTACCACAGGTGCAAGATCTCGGAGGCCATTGAGCTGGTGGCATCGTGCCCACCGTCGCTCGGGAAAGAAGTGGCCGGAAAAGTCGCGGGAGAGCTGCGGGACCTGTCGACGGAGATCGAAAATCGGTCTACCGAGATGCAGGTCATTGCCGCCGACTTCGAGAAAGACGCTTCCAGGCTGAGGGCGATGCCCCGCTTCCAGGTAGACCCCCGCCTGAAGATCGAGATCTCGAAAGTGACGAGGGACATATACACCGCTGCCTTTGTCCCCAAACTCGCTGCTAGCATCCTGGAGGACGCAGAAAGGCGCAGCGCGTTGGTTGGTACCGAGAGTGTTTACCGGAGGGAGCTTTTGAAGCTATGGGAGGTTGGCCATGATCCCTCTATTGAATCAAGCGCTCCTATTCCAAACTTACCGAAGGCAACGTGCGATGGAGACACGGACGCGGAGCTCCTCGTCCGTGCAATAGCTTGGCTGCGAGACGAATTTATCCAACACGAGACAGTCCTCGATAGTATCAAGTTTGGTCTTTAAGGGAATGTATCTTTTTCACTCGATCATTAACACTCTTATATGCTTTCCAAGGCAACACATTCTAGTTAATTATATTATTGCTGCTGCGAACTTTGTACGAATCGTAGGTTGTAGCCATTGTTCCCCATTGCCATTGAGCAATCGATTGCTTAATCGAGAATTCAATGGTAGCTCAAAGCGGTCTCCGATGACGAAAAAACATTACTGCGAGACGACAACATTATACACCTTTCGGGTCATCCCATCCTATAGAAGGGGATGCCTCGAAAATTGCATGACGTTGGTCGGTACTCCCGGGGCTCCTATTGAATCAAGCGCTCCTATTCCAAACTAACAAAAGGCAACGTGCAATGGAGACACGGACGCGGAGCTCCTCGTCCGTACGATAGCTTGACTGCGAGACAAAAACATCATACGGATTTCTAGACGTCCCATAGTATCCTTAAGGACACCATGAAAACCGCATGATGATGGTCGGTATCAAGAGTGTTTGCCGGAGGGAGCTTTGGAAACTATCATTGACTTCACGTTGGTTGGTACCGAGAGTGTCGGACGGCATCATACAATGGAGACACAACTCGGAGCTCTCTTGCGGGTGGAAGTAAGTCAAAATGGGTATGAAGTACCGGTACTTGAATTAGTTTCAAGTGCAACCAACCTACCGAACATTTTCCGTTCGAGAGATCAGCAGATACGGGAATATGGTCTTTTTGGCGGGCAAACAGGTTGTCATGGATCCGTTGGTGTCCGTTCCGCCAATCTCTGTATCTCTAAAAGTCGTACTGAACGCATGCCACACCATGTTCTGCACGTCTGGAAGGGCCTTTTGCAATCCCGCACGAAACGCTTCATGTCCGTACGACTACCAGAACAAAATTACGATTACGAGGAACAGGTATGAGAACTGCTACAGTACGGTATTCTCGAGTTCGAGAATTGTTACGGCAATTGTACGAAGTACGGTACGTACCTCGTCCCCCGTGGTGCAGGTTCCCAGTAATTCGTGAAGTAATTCCCAAGATAAAGGGGTGCCTCTCATAGCCTCAACTCGTCAAGCGGATGAATTCCATTCTTCTCCCGGTTCGCAGATCAGTTTTTTTCTGTACGAGTTCTGTGCGTTATTCGTAACGTTTTACTGTTGTTCTTTTACTTCGTACTTCGTATATCGGAATAGGATCTGTGACACCCTCATCAGTCCCTGATGAACTGATGCAAATCGAGAAATTCTGACCTAGTATTGGACCTCAGGAAAAGCCATCGTCGAAGTATTGGTTGAGCAAATTTTCTAAATTGCTGTCTATTCGGAATACTGCTTTTGTTTTGCCGACAGCTTTCAGATGTTTGGATGGAAATTATGGTTTGAGAGGCAAGAAGAATCAGCTCTCTAGCGCTCGCTCTCTTTCCAGTGTTTATGACGAATAAGGATATACTGAAGATTTTGCTTTTATTTTGTAATTCAGGCATTCTATTTATTGTATTGTATGAGATGTTGTTGTGTTCAGCTTGTTTTTATGTCATTCATCTGCTTGAGGATTCTGTGTGGTTCGTTTTTGTTTTCTTTCGTTGTTTCCCCCCGTTTCTCAATGCGCCATTTCCAGACCCGACAACCGATCGTTGGCATCGTGCTCCAGCAGCCGCACCTGGCGGATCACCGCGGACAGCTCGTCCTCGAACGTGTAGGCGTCCTTATCAAAGGAGGAACCCTCCGGAAAGTCGATGCGTATCGTCACCGTGTGCTGGTTGTTGCGGCGCTTGCGGCGGTCCCCGCGTTGGTGAAGAGGTGCCGCCTCCTGGGGTGCAGACACTAGCTTCGCAGAATCCTTGCGCTGTGCCTTTTGGTTTGTGTGCATCATCTCGTCCAGGTTGGCCTCTTTCCACACGGAAGCAGGGACGGCCATCGAAATGTCCAGATTTGTGTCTCCAACCCGGACCAGGTGAGCCTCCTCCGCCAGCGTCTGGGTTGGATCCAGGAGATAGTTCTCGCGGATCGACGACGGGGCAAAGGCGCAGGCTATCCTCGTCCACATCGAGTGAGATGGTTCTGAGGAAGAGGATGAATCATGGCTATCGTCTTGCTCGTCATCGAGGTTCTGCAGGGCTTGCAACCAAAACGATCGCTCGTTGTCGTGGTTCGCCACGGCATAGTCCTTGGTCTGCGGGACGGAGGGGGCCGAAGAAGTGAGGCTCTCCACCTCTCGATCGATGCTGATCACGCTACTGCTGCTCGTGGAGGTCATCGGGGGCGACTGAAAGGCACTTGTGGAAGTCGCCAGTATCGTGGCCATCAGAATGGCATGGGTCGCAGAGGGTGCGGAAATCATTTTGGTTGTGTCTTTCGGTTTGTTGGTGTTTGTTATGGTTAGAGGGAATCTTAAGGTTGTGTCGGTCTATTGCTGGTCCTTGGAAGCAAATGGAAGGGTAAGTACCGGCACGGGAGTTTTGTGAAAAATTGTGAACTATTGAGCTGTACAAGCTACGATCAGTACAGAGTCGAAAATGAATGGGGTGCAGAGCCTGTGCTGTTGTGTAAGCTGGTCGTGCGGTGCGGTATGTTTGCATCCGTTGCGTTTTTCGCACGAGCCATTGTTTTCGAACTCTTTTTTCTGCCGGCATGTTTTGGTGGTGTTGACGTCACGTGTTTTTAAGGTGCGGCAGCAGTACTTTTCCGATTCAGGGGAAGGAAGTTGGTGACTAAGCGGGGTTTTCTGCCGCCCACGGGGAAAGACTGCTACGAAGGCGTTGTCGCGTCAGATGCTACGTCTCAATTCGTACGAGAATTTTTCGAAACGGCGAGTGAGCAAAGGATTGGATCGTGCGTTGGATGCGCCATGCAGTATCGTTTCGTGCAAACTCCTACGACTGCCGTTTTGGAGGAGCCAGAAAAACTCGGAGTATCGATTTGAGAAGAGATAGAAAAGGCCGATGCGACGAGAGAACCTTTCGTAGCGTGTTTGTTCTTGGCCAATGAAAACTGTTCTCCAAATCGTAGTGCAATACGTACAGCAATTCGAGAAGACGTAACAAGTGAAGTAATGTACGTACGAAATCCCAAATTCAAAAATGCATACGAACGAATTCGATTATGTTCTTTCGAACACTTCTTTTCTGCGCACCGAAAATTGTATCCTTCCATATATACTAAATATACTAAAAGTACGTATAGTATGTACTATCATGGTAAAGGATTGTGAATGCAGAGGGGAAAAAACTTGAAATCGGAGACTCCGAAACCAAGCCGAGAAACTTTTTCGACCTGCTTCGACACCATACTAAACTCAATGAATCTTGCGGCAGGGAATGCGTACCTTGCATTGCTTGCTCGCTTGCTTGAAGGCGCAGTGTCTTAAAACGGAAAGGGAATCGGATAATCGTTCGCATAGCACCGCACTAACATCAACAACCCGATTCTTTCACTCCAATCCAAGCTAGTATCCCGATGCCGCCCAGCGTTGCTCGGATACGTCATCATTCCGGAAGTGATGAGGAATTGTAAGTCCACCGGAGTAGAGAGGAGAAGACAAGCGAACGGGCAGAAGCGAACGAGTTTTTCAATTCGAACAACACAATGTTTGCTGTTCCGAAAGCATACAGAGTAAGAGAAATAGTGAACCCACAGAGAGATTATGCGATGGCTCTATTTTATTCTAACCAAAATCGTATCGGCAATACACTGCGTCGCATTCCCGAGCATATACAGCGCGCCAAAACACGTCTCCAAATCCATTTGGTGCTACGTACTACCATCCGATAGGAAATCCGATGCACAATTTTTTTCCGGGAATCCTCCACCACCGGGCAGTGCGCTTGGCCCGGAAAGGACTCCACCCCTGCCCGCATCGCATCGCATCGCATCACAGCTCGCCGCTGTGCGCGCGATGGGCGTGGTCGTCGTCGTCGTCGCTATCGTCGCCGCCGGCGGTGGCGGCCGCGCTTTCTTCCGCGGCGAAGGTCGCGTTGTGGTACCCGACCACGTCGAAATTCCCCGATACCCCGGGGCCGTCCGCACCGGAGCCGCTTCCGCTCGGCCCGCCCCCCCCCTTCCCGCCGCCCATCGCGGTGTACTGGGCATAGAGCGATTCGTAGTACTCTTCGCCGTAGGCCTGGATCAGCTCGTCCTTCATGTCCTCGATCGCCAGCTCGGCCTCTTCCTGGGGCGGCGTCCCCTCCCCGTAGACGGATCGGAAGTGCCCGAGGGCCTTTCCGTAGTGGTGCCCGCTGTGGGCGAACCGCCGGGAGAAGAAGAGCGCCGAGGACAGACCGCTGTGGGCGCTCGCGAGGCCCAGCCTGGTTTTCCGATCGGGGTTGCTCTGGATGCGGTCGTAGATCTCGATGGCCTCCTCGTAGGATCGGATCGTCACCGGCAGGTCTCCCATGGCCATGGTCATGCTGGCCAGGGCCAGGAGGACCCCCGCCTCGTAGGAGTCGTCCTTGTAGACGTACATCGCCCTTACGTTCCCCCGGTAATCCTCCAGCTCCTTTTGGTAGGTCGCTACGATTTCTCTGTATTGGTGCATGCCCACGTCGTCGCCCTGGAGTGTGTTGTACATGCCGTCGGGAGAAGGAGTGAGATGGTTCCTCTGGAAGTACGTCATGGCCTTGTTGTATTGCCCCATGGACTCGCTGTAGTTTCCGAGGTACAGCGCGGTGGCGGCCAGAGACTTTTTGAGTTCGCCGATCGACGTCTTGGCGTACTCTTTGGTCATGGTGGAAGCCATGCTCGACGATACAAACTGCCTCGCGTTCTCCCGGGCCTTGCTGCCCTTGCCAGACCCCCTCTCCGTTTCTTCGTAGTAGGGTACCACGACCTTTGTATAGAGCTCGAGTGCCTTGTTCGTCAGCTCCCTGGCCCGGATGTGGTGGTTCCGAACCGTAGCGATCCTGGCGGAGTTTTGGTAGGCGGTGGCCAGGGAGGCCCGCCAGTGAAAGAGTCGCTCTTCCGCTCGGAGTTCCTCTTGCGATTTTTTCCTCTTGCCGTTGACAACGACAATCTTCTTTTTCTTGGGCGGCGTTTGCCCGTGGAAGAACCCGCCGGACCTGGCTCCGTCCCCGGACGGTGGATAATCGGCGTGCTGCAGAAAGGTCAGAATGGCCGTGTCCAGAAAGCCCTCTATTTCGAGGAGGGAGGCCTCCTTTGCCTCGGAAAAGCGGCCGGTGCCTGCCCCGAAGAGGTCCTGCAGCTCGTCGTCTCCGATGTCGAGGGGGATCGACACAAAGGAAGAAGTCGCCCCCGCACCGCCCATTCCTCCGCTCGTGGTTTGGCTCAGCAGAGCGTCCATGATCTCGTCCTCCGTGGCGTCCTCGTTCAGTCCGAGCTGGGACTCCGCGAGTTCCATGGCCTTGTCGTTGGCCTTGCGTATTTCCTCGTTTTCCGTGAGAATCAGGTCTTGGTAGAGGGCCATTGCCAGTTCGTAACAGCTAATGGCATATCCGTTTTCGATGGAATAATAGCGCTCCTCGTTGAAAACGTCGTCCTCGAAACTAGGGTTGTAGCGTTGTTGTTGTTGTTGTTGTTGCTGCTGCCGTTCCACCCCAAACTTGGCATAGTTGTAGCGGAGTGTTTCGTAAGAGGTCTGCGCCTTTCGGTAGGAGGCCAGGGCCTTTTCTGCGTAGGCCCGGTCGTTATCGTTGGCCTCCGCCAGGTCCGAATAGGCCTCCCCGAAGGAAAATTCCAGGGTGGACTCGTATTGCATGCGCACCACACGGTCCTCGCGGCTTTCGTCGTCGTCGTTTTTGTTGTTGTCGTCGTTTTTGTTGTTGTTCTTGTCGTCGTCGTTGTGGGTTCTGCCGAGCGACCAAAGGGCGGTGTGCGCCTTTTGGTACGCCTGGATGGCCAGCTGCACGTGGTACTGCTTTGGGTGCTGCGTATATACCTCCTGCCGGTAGTTGATGGTGGCCATGTTTTCGAAGTGGACCCCGTATTCGGCGTCTTCCAGATGGGCGTGTCCGAGCTCCATGTACCAGTCGACCAGCTCGATGGTCGGCTGGTCGATCGTCCTTCCATCCGCGTTCAGCTCGGACTCCAGCGTCGCGTAGTCCGACAAGACGTCGCCGACGGCGATCCCGTATTGCGGTTCGTAGGGTACTGTATAGGTAGCCTCTCCGACCGAAATGGTAGTGGATCTTGGTTCTTTCTTGGCCACCGGTGCTTGTTGTTTCTTCCCGGTCCCGTGCTCGTGCTTCGGTGCGGTCTGCACATTGGGAATGGTTGCGGCAAACGTCCCGGTGGATGGCACTGTCTCTCTCTTTGGCGGCTTTTTCTCTGTAGCTTCCTTCCGGACGCTTTGCTGCTGCTTCGGAGAAGCCTTTGCACCGGACGCGGTTTCGGTCGACCTTCGTGTTGCGGACCCCCCTGTTTGTCTGGTGGACGACGACGAGGTAACGGTGACTCTGGACGTTGCGACCAAGGGTTCTCCGTCCTTTGCACCGCCCTCGGGGGGTTCCGGGCGGTGGGTCACCGAGCGGGAGGCCCTTCGCCGGTCCCCCTCTTTGTTCGCCGTCGCCTTTGCGATCCCGTTTTCCGCCGCGGCTGTTTGGTGGGGGAAAAGCGCCGCTGCCTCGCGGGACACGGCGGCCTTGATGCAGAGGCCGCCACCGGAAGCCCTTGGGCAGTCCGTAAAGACGGTCTTTGTCCGTTCGTGGCCGACGCCTTTGTCGCTCGGGCGGTCCTCGTCTTTGTCTTCGGCGTCGTCGAACCGAAAGACGCAGTAGACGGCGCTCTTGCCCCTTTCCTCCGGGCGATTCTCGCAGACCATCTCGCCTCTGGCCAGCCGGGCGTGGTCTTTCAGAAGGGAGTTTGCGCTGCGGTTGCGGTGGCTATGGCCGTGGCTGTAACTCGCTTTGTCGTCGCGGGAATCGGTTGCCGCTGTCGCCGCTTCCGAAGCGAAGCCGACGCGAGCGAGGGACAACGCGAGCATCATTGCCCATACCAGCGAGACGAACCCGCCCGCAGGGAGGCCCCGATCCCGGGAGCCACTCTGTCGCGTCGTCGTCGTCGCTGTTGTGCCCGTTCTTGTTCTTGTTCTTCTTCTTCTTCTCGTGCCCGCCATGGTTGTGGGTCTCGAACGCTTCCGCCGTGCTCTTGTGCCCGAACGGTCGTGCACAATCCGTTCTTGCCGTGTTTGTTGAAACCCCGGGATGTGGTTGCTCTCTGCCGTTCTCTTCCTCTTGCCGGTCGTTTGGTTGCTGCTTGTTATTATTCTCGTATGTGTTCTATTTTTCGCTGTGTCATGGGAACAGTACGAGTACGCAATTGCTTGCAGGGGTCATAAATTTAGACCCCTGATTGCTTGTACGTTCCATCTGTACGGTACTACGACAAAACAAATACAGTACGTACGAAGTACTAGTACAAGGGAGGATCAACTAATTTGAAGCCTTAGTACTCGTACTCGTACCATGGTATGCGACCATTGGTTTGAACTATGCGTTTTGGGAAGACCTCGAAATCTATTCCATGCCACACACTGGCTCGAAAATGCCACCCAAGTCGGTCATGGAAGAGGTCTTAGGCATATTACAAAATTTATTTTCTATTTTTTACGATTCTACTGTTTTTCGTCCTACCGTTCGGTACTCGAATACTCTTACGTAGTACAAATTTGAACCCTCGGAAGGATTTTTTTGGGATATTGGATACGAGTAGGACGTATTCGTACGAGTTCGTACTCGGTCATCAGTAATTTTCACTAGAAGTATTCTTTTTCGGTACGGTACCTGGTACCAGTAGATGGAAATGGAGGTGCCACGATGCCAGGAAAGGAAGGACAGAACACGCAATGAACCATCGGGCCTCCGGAACGAAAGAACGAGCGGCACCGCCATCCGATAGTGTGAAAGCGATGCTGTAGCAAATCGGAAAAGCAGACCAAGGGCGCCGGTCTTTCCTGATCGGCCCGACAACAAACGAAACACCGCATCCGCGGAACAACTTTTTCTACACCACCACGAAATTTTGGTCCCGGGTTGGATCGCCAGTAGTCCAACCGACGATTCGTACCGGTCGTGTGGAACGAACACGGCACCGATGCGTTTGATCCCGCGCGACACGGCACAGAAAACCCCAATGAGAGGTGTGCTGGACAGCCGGTGGGCCCGATCGAAGCAAGCCGCGATCGACCCGAGCGGAGGACTGCGGCAGTGTAGGTAGAACAGCTGTACGGTAGCCTTACATTAGCCTTTGTTTGGGCCAACACTCGCTTCTTTCAGCCGGCACACGGAACTAGCACGGCAATCGGATCGAGACGTCTCCTTTGCCCCCACCATCCAAACCACCGAACGCAGCGTCCACAAAACAAAAGCGGAAAAGATTGCAACCATGGTGAATGAAATCGAGTACGATCCGGACAACGATTACTTCGCTATTCTGGGTGTATCTCCAGTGGTGACCCAAGCAGAACTAAAGAAACGATACAAGAAACTGGTGCTCAAGTTACACCCCGACAAACATCCCTTGGGTGCACGAAAATATTTTCACGTGCCATTCACCCGCATGCAGAAAGCATACGATATTCTTAAAGACCATTCAGAGCATATGATGTATTACCACTATCGAATGCGGTATTATACAAAGATGTTTTTTCAGTCCAAGTCCAACGGTTGGTCCGAGTACTTGTGCGAGTTGAGTTGGAAACACAAACACAAAATCGACACCGAAACTAAAAAAATCGACGCCCTGATCAGCATATCAGAGAAATGGAAACAAGAAGAAAAGAAACGTCGGGACACGCAGAGAGCACAGGAGGAAGAACATCGAAAAGAACACGAGCGTCAGAAAGAAATCCAGGCAGAAAAAAGAAGGCAAGAAGAGGAGGAAGCCGAAAGGCAAAAAAGAAAACGGGAGGAACAGGCGAAAGAGAGAGAGAAACGAGCGACAGAAGACGAGGCAGAAGACAATGCAGAACTGAAGGCAGAACTGAAAGCAGAGCTGAAAGAAGTCCAGCTGGAATTTGAAATCTGGGAGTTGCGCCAGAAAGTCAAAAGGGCAAAAGAAGTCGAGAACAGAGAAAGCGAGCTGAGATTGCTGGATGAAAAACGCGACAAGGCTATCCAAGAGCTCAACGAAGCGCTGAACGACAAGATGGAGAATCTGCGAAACGAGTTCCGAAGGAAAACACAAACGCGCGAGGAACAGCACGAACGGGAGGTGCAGAACAAAAAGGCATTCCACGAAACGGAGCGAGAAACCCAGAAAATCGACCGCAAGCGCGTCCGGGACAGCTATCGGTCGTGGGACAACGAAATGCGGTCGATTGTGGAGGGCGACGGGCCGCCGCCGGCGAAGGCACCGAAGCGACCCGACTTTTACAAGCCCTGCTTTGGCCGGAAAAAGAACGGCACGTACTGTCGGTTCTGCAAGAAAGCCGGAGGGTTTTGCTCCATGCACGCGGACCAGAAATGGTGAACCACGCAACCGGGATTCCGTTGGGCAGCTGCACAATGCCAACGCCTGCGAAATCTACGTATGCTCTTTAGTGTCGTATAACTACGTGTTTACAATAAAGAGTGAGGGGAATTCTTGCCCACTCACTATCTAATCGTGATTGCTTATGATTTAGTGTGTTTTAGGCCTCACAATACCAACGCCTGCAACCATTCTTTCCGGTCGTGGTGTGCGCACCGACGGATCCTTCGAGAGCTTTCCAACATTGCCTTGCAACAGATTTCTCACGAACACGCACGAAAGTACATCCCAACAATGCATCGAAGAATCGACTGCTTCCTCGCTTGGAATGTGGGTGCAGTATTTGTCTTGTTTCGATCGAATTCGATCGCGGCTTGGCCAGTTTTCCCATTTGGCAAGTCCGTGTTCGTATCATTGGGGTTCGGAGTGTAAACATTTGCGCAAAGCCATTGGCACGACCATCTAACCACCAACCTACAACACAACGCAACGACTCTATCTTATTTTCTGCAACAGCGAACCTGCTACGGCAACCCTGTCAACGATCAATAAAGAATTTTGTTGTTTTGTGTATTACTTGTACCTTGTAAAGGAAGTAGCGATCGGTATCGCACGCACTATTGCACTCAATATTTTATCACCAAAAATGGTTGTATTGTTACAACAATTGTTTCGAATGCCGCCACCCGTACTACTTCTAACTTTGAAAGGAAGTAGCGATCGGTATTTCAAGCACTATTGGACTCAGTTTAATTCTTACAATGATTGCGCCGAATGGTGCCACCTTATCTTCCCCTCACACTAGTCATAGATCTCGTAGTGTTTAATCGAAGCGAATTGAAAAGACTGGACACCTTACTCCTTCTTCTTTCCTTTTTCCCTTTGCTGCTGCTGCTGGAAGTGCTCTGCCGCCTGGGTGAATTGTTATAGCTACCAATGGTTATGCTACTGGTTGTGCTAACACGGCGTATGCTCGATCGTATGGATCGGAAGGGGAGAAACACACCGGACTCATCGTCTTCGTATTGGTAAATACTGCTGCTGCGGTTCACGCCTCGGCTAGTGGAGCTTTTCTTGTGATCAGTGCAATACGGTTCACTGGTGTCATCTTCTGCAGAAGTTGCAACCGGTATGGCGTTGTGCTTATTAAAGTTGAAGAGATACCTGGCCATGGCCCCCGATAGAAACCGCATCCTGATTATCCTCGATGTCCTCGGGTTTACCCAGGCGATCGAGTGCCAGTGGACGGGATGGTCCAGGCCATCCTCCCACAGCTCCATCTGCAAGTCGAAGGACACGGAATCGAGCGGCTCGGCAGAGAACCGCGTCCAGCTGGCGTTCCGCTTGTGCATCTCGTTGCACTGGAAGACCCACCATTCAAAGGACATGAATTCTCCGTTGAATTCAACCTTCAATTCTTCATCGTAGACCGCATGGAAGGCGGGCTTGATTTCGGCCTCCGAGACGAGGCCATTCTTCTTGAGTTTAGAGCATCGGAAGAGCTCCTTGAGGTTTTCGATTGCGATTTCGGATCCCTGTGGCATGATAAGTGCTGCTGATACTGGCGGTTTGGTTGCTTTGGTTTCGTGGGTTCCTATTGATGAGGGAATCCTTGATTTTGTGCGAATTTCTCGTCGTTAACCAGAACAGACTTTTGAATTTTTTTTTTGAGAATCAACTACTGTATTTGTTGTTCCTCAATGAATCTGTACAGAATCATCAAGATTGAATCAAGATTGTCAGACGACTAAAGATCACGAGTAGTTACATTGAATTACATTATACAATAAGTTAAGAAAAAGTATAGAGTTCTAACTGCCCAGTACCGTTTTTCTTTGAGGTTTTTTTCATGGTGACATGATTTAAATCCATCCGTTAAGTAAATCAACGCATGAAAGAAAGAATCGCCAAGGAAGACATAAAAAAATATCATTCTTCTTTCCTTCGACCTTCCTCAGAGCAGGAAGTGTTCGAAGTTTGCTCGGGCACTGATTGTGAAAAATCATATGTTTCTGGTAGCGCGAAGAATCGTTGGTGTGGCAGGTAAGGCAATTGTATCATGCGTCATCTCACTTTTCTCGGGCATGAATTCACCATTTCACTTTATCATGACATTACCGTTCGTACGTGAGCAAGATAGGAGTCTTGAGTCGTATCGTACGATACGGTAGAGCATCTCCTGTACATTCTTTCTGTTTCAATGGAGTTGGTCGATCTTTTACTAGTAGCGATAGCAAAAATAATTACAGATTTTCTGATATTCTTTCGCCTGCCGTAGCTAGCTCCCCTCCCCCAAAATAATAATCCCTGAATATATGTTTGTAGGAGACAAGACGACGGACATGAGAAAGTTTTTCTTTTTTCTTGCTTGTTCTTGCAAAAAAATCTTAAAAAATCTTGCATAACAAGGTATGATTAAATTCGTTTTCGATGATACCATATTTTCTGGCACTTTGGCTATTGGAAAGGTATCGTACCGGATACTTCAATTGATAAGGCTTCGTTTTCAGCTTCCGTTAGAGACATAGTATTCAATTTCGTCGACTTCCTCCTCTATCGACAAAGAGGCGAAAAGAGATTAAGGCAACCGCCTTGACGACCACCGAACCACAGAAGTCACGAATTGAAGGTAGCGAACCATACTGAATCAAAGTGAACAATTGTATAGAATTGATATTCTAATCAAATCTCGGCAGATCACTCACAAACCGAACACGCAACATCATGAGCGGATCATCCTCGTCGTCCAGAGAAGCTGCCGTCGTTCGTATGTTCGAAATGGTCACCGCGTCCCATTGGACGGCAAGAAGCAGCGAATCGAATGTCGTCGACGATCTCCGGCCCCTTCTGCTAATGATGGACATCGGCAGCTGCGCCTCGGCCGAAAAGCACACTCGTGTAAACTGCGTGACGGCAAGCATGGGAGATGTCGTCATCGAGCACTACCCCCGCATCGGAGAGCTTCTAGAGCTAAGAGCGGCACCCGTCAGCGTCGGGAGAACCAGCCTTGACATTTCCGTCCTGGTTGTGGCCCATGGGTGCAACGAATCCAACGGATCGGCCGAAACGAAGCAGGTCTGCGAGGCCTTTTTTACGTATGTAACCACGAGGGGGCCCGATGGGAAAAAACGCTTTGCTCCACCTCTGGCAGCGAGGGAAGGAACGGGGAGCTATGCGTGCGAGAAAACATGGGAGCGGACCATGGCGCAGTTTCGAAAGCAACTCATCCGCTCCGAGCAGACCCTTGTCAAGCGCCATAACAACCATCTGCTGGAAGAGCAGCGATCCGGCGGTAACGACGCCGCCCCTTCTGCCTTGGCGATATTCGAGTGCAGCGAGGTCGTCCTCCCCCGCCACCAAAACCATATGGAGCATCTCTTCGGAGGCATCGTCATGGGGTGGATGTGCAAATCCGCCCTGGCCGGCTGCGTTCTGGCCTGCCGAAAACCTCCTTCCGCCTTTCGGATCCGGAGCATCCAGCGGGTGGACTTTCCGAAGGGGGCCGATGTCCAGGACCACGTGGTGCTGCGGCCCCGGATCACTGCGATCTTTGACGGCGGTCGCCATGCCGAGGTCGAGGTGAGGGTCACGAAGCGGTCCATCACCCGCGAGCAGCCGGAGCCTTCCAGCGGGGAAGCCCTCATGAATGTTGGTCATTTCTACGTGACGGGGGTATCCTCCTATGAACAGGCTGGCTCGAAGAGGAGGAGTGACATTGGTAACACGGACGGTGGCCCCGAAGAGAAGCTATCGTGTGCGGTGGCCCCGTTTGCGGACCTCTTGAATAAACGGAGCGACCTGTATGGATCAAATCCCAAGGACAAGCCCTCCCTCGATCTCGAAATGGCTCGCGAACGATTGAACGCCTTGCTGACCCGGATGAATCTCCTGGCGGGCATAGGAGATTCCATTCGATGGGACGCATCGATGGAGCTGCAGGCCCCTATTCTAACCATCTTGTCGGTGCTGCGGCTGTGCGACGATTACATCGAGGAGTCGACTTCAACATACAGTAGCAACGGCAGAGGCGTCGATGAGAATCACAGCGGTCCAATCTGGACGGTCCCGGATCTTCTGTTATCACACAACCCACCCAACACCACCGTCGAATGGGCCAGGGGGGAGGAGTCACTTTTCGGCCACAGCAACACCTTTTTGCTGCGGGGCAAAACCGTTGTGTCCCGACGGCGCCCAGTGGAACCAAATCTTTCCGGCAGCGGCTTTCTAGAAGCCGTCTATGCAACCATCCGCGACAAGCGCCCGGAGTGGGACCCGGCTTGCATGGCTATCGAGTGCCTGGAGCGATCGAGCGACAAAAACACGGAGGCGGAGAACGGAAAGGAAGCTCTGGAGTGGGCCGTTGTAGAGTACCAAATGAAGTCGGCAATCGCTGATTTCCGACTCTGTCTGCTCCAGGCGGGTGCCTACCTAAGGAGAGATGGAAGCATTGCCGGCTCGGGCGAAGACGACGACGGCGACGGCGACTCGACCCAGGAGGAGAACACGAGCGCGGTGCTGGCCTCGCGGAGCGTCCGCCACCAGCGTTCCAAAGGGACCCATCGGGTCCTCCCTTCGGGCTGGGTCCTCAAGACCATGGAAGATGATGGCGAGGACAACGACGAAGCCAAAACAACAGACGAGCGCCTCGAAATAACCTATGTTGCGGAGGTAAGCAATCAGGGATGTTTTATCATCATGCAAACGAGAGCGATGCAGCATGGTTTGGTAGTTCTGATCGGAGAAAGCATACACGGAAAGCAAGCAATCAACGGCTAGTGTAGCAATTGTTGTACTTGATGCATTCCGTTCTTTTGCAATTTTGTTTATTGAAAAGTATTTATCTCATCTCATCGTTTCGTCCGTTCCTTCTGTTTATTGCCGCACACGACACGACATACCGACAACGATGATCACAATCCAATCATCCCCTGCCCGCTCTCGCAGTTTGATTACGACACGGTGCGCCAATCCGGAGCGCTAAAGGGGCACGAGGATTACGCAACCGAGGAATTAATCGCTGGTTACGTGGGTTTGTTCGTCGGTCAATGGTTTGAAAATCTCGCATCCTTCTACCATTACAGATCAAACGATGGCGACTAATGCAATAGTATTACAACTATTACAGTATAGTTGTGCTTTGTAGTATGTTAAAGTTGAAAACTCGTGAACTAGTATATGGTGCTTTGGAGGAGGAGTATTAAGAGAGACTCGAATGCGTGTCGTTGTGGCAGTGTTCGAGAAAACAGCGAAGAACAGGAGTAACAATGAGAGGCTGTTGGTATTTCTACTAATAATAGGGTGCCTCCTAGCTTTGTCTATTTCGTTGGTATTTCGTTCTGTTTGAAGAGGACTAGTAGTACTGTACTGTACTTGTATTTCATATTGCGGCTTCTACTATACTAGTACCGGAATGGGAGGCATTGTATTGTTACTTTTTCGTTTTAAGTAGTACGTACCGTATATACAATACGTACGATATCGGAGGGCTGCATTTGTTGTGCTTTTGACACAGCACATAATTACTCCCCCTTCTTGCCAAAAATAACGGTCATTTTCGAAGTTTGGGAAAGACTTTGAAATCTACGGGAAACACCAAGGAACATTTTTTTAACTGTCAAATAGAATCTTTCAAAAATAAGTTTCCCGTAGGTTCCATACTTTGAATGACGGCATGCATCACGCACACCTCCCCTTTCATACCAAACAAAATTGAAACGAAAAAGGCACAAAACGGATCGTTAGGAACTCTACTACTACTCGTACCGTACGAGAAGGCATAAAACACAACCGAGTCGTTGCTCGTTCTCGTAACTCGTACTGGTACTCGTCAGTACGGTAGGGAGTTTACAACCTGCTGCCTTCGTCCCGAGCGAGAAATTGGTTGTTCCTCTCCGACGACACCAACCCCTGCATCGGAATAGAAAGTCTAGTCTCTCGCAACCGAATTCCATTCCATAGTACCGATATCGCATCGACCGATTTGCATCAACAACATACGGTAGGCAAAGCATTATTGTTCGGTAGAGGACTGGGTTTGATTCATGCATACATTCATTCGTTGCTCCGAACGCTAGAAAGATAACAATACGATAACATCGAATCGATCGGTAGGAACCCAACGAAACGACGGATCGGGAGTCATTCCGACACAATAACGCACGACACAGCGGTTCGTACGCAACCTACGCTACCCAAACAGACCAACCAATACCAAAGATCACGGGACGATACCATGGCAGACCCCATGACTAGCGGCCCGATGGCCACCATTCTCCAAAAAACGGATCCCTTTGTGCTGGACCAAACGATAGAGCAGCTGGAGGCTCTCTCCCCCGGGGCGTCGGCGTCGGCAAACCTCCCGATGGGGGTCGGCCGGGAGGCAACGTCCCCCCGCCCCTTTCTGGAGACCTCCTTCAACAAGGGCGACAGCGGGGGCTTTCGGGAGCCCTGGAAGGCCGGATACAAGACGAACCCGGGTGTTGTCGACCCCGAGGTCGCCGAGCTGGAGGCATCGGCCAACGAGGTCTGGGACGCCTACCGGCAGCTGTACTACGGAACGGGCTCCGTCGGGAGCGTCTATGTCCGCCGCCGCGGGGACGATTCTTCCGCTGCGGCCTCCGGGGGGAGCAGCCCGGCCAAGAAAGCAAGCAAGGGCAAGGCCGCCCTGGAGGCCCTGTTTGGAATCCGGAAATCCGTCGCAAACGGCGGCAACGACGACGATTTCGACGACGACGACTGCGAGACCACGGAAACCGCCCTGTGGGAGAGTGTCCACCTGGTGTCCATCGAGGCCCCGAGCGCGGACGGGAAATCGTGCGAGTACCGGATCCGGTCGAGGGTGTGGTGCCGGTACAAGCCCCTGGACGTCGGCGACGTCCCGAAAAAGGACCGGCCCCCGCCCCCGAGGAAAAAAAAGCCGGAAGCCGCGCAGGAGAAGCAGGCCCCTCCCAAGCCCAAGAAAACGGCAAAGGCCCTGGACGTGGCCCGCCTCGAGATCTTTGACAGGGCCGCCGACAACTGGGACAGCCACCACAAGGGCAAGAAGAAGAACGGAGGACCACCGAAACCAAAGCCACAAGCATCGAGGGTGAAGCCCGGGGTCCCCCTCGTCCCCGCCACGGTCACCTCTTCGGCGGTGTACACGAAGGAGACCACCAAGGTCTGCACCATTGTCGGGGCCAAGAAGGCCGGTGCCGGGGGCCTCTTCAAGGTCCCCCCCGAGCAGCACATTTGCAACCTCGGTGCCATGATCGAGAAGATCGAGGCCGACCTCCGGTCCAAGATGGAGCGGGTCGATGCCCCCCGCTGTTCCGAGATATTGACCAGCATGTACCGGCCGACCCTCTCCCCGGGCCTGAGGCTCCCGGCCCGGGGGGGGGGCATGGTGTCCAGGCTCGGCGGCCACGCGGTGGGCATGGGGGTCGGCCGGGCCCTCGTCGGAGAGATTGCCCTCCTGGCCCGGTCCAAGGGCCTCGGCGGAGGGACCGGGGAAACCACCGGCGCTCCGGCCACCAACGCGGCCATGGAGGGCCTCCTGGCCCGCGAGAGGAACAAGCTGGTTTCGGCTTCGGCTTTGGGTTCCGAGCCAAGAGGCCCCTTGTCCGGCCTTTCGAAGACGGCCTCGCTGCGCGGGGTTGGCACGCAGGTGCTCCCGAGCGGCCTTGCGCCCGGGGACCTGCGATCGAGGCTCAAAAAGACCAAGAGCGCCCCGAGGTCGTCCTCGTCGTCCCTGTCGTCGGAAACGGCGCAAGCGGTCCCCTCGGCGGACTTTGCCAGGTTTCGAAACAACCTCAAGTCGATCAAGTAGGTCGGAGCCAAGCAGAGCCAAGCACGGCAGAGCCAAGAAGAGCACGGCAAAACAGCGAACGAAAAGACGGGTGGTCTCAGAAGAAGAACTTTTGCAACGGTCCATCGCGAACAGCATTCTGTGTGCGCTCCGGGCTGGCGGTCCATCCTCTGGCGGCACTGGGTTGCAACACGGCAAGATTGCTCCACTAGATTATTATTCAGCATTAATAAGAAACGAATTTACACGCAATACAGTACTACTGCCACGCCTTGGAAACGAGGGAGTCCCACCCAAGAACCGCAGATGCGAAACCATCCTGCGGTGCATAGCTAGGTACAGTGCGGGCAGGTACTGTACTACAAGTACTTTGTTGTTTAGTGCTGTACAGTATGGGCTAAGGCTACAGTAACGATACGGCACGGCACTGCCATCGAAAAAGTAATATAATACTAGACATTACGAGACTGCTTGGATTGCCTTCTCATGGATTGGATTGAAGTTGTTGAAAGAATGTACGGATGGTTTAAAATATAGCAGAAGATATGAAGGACAGAAGATTGATTGGGTGGTATTCGTTTGCAGGGATTTCGGTTTGCGTCTTGTTTGGATTGGATTGGATGCAATTCGATGCGACATGGATGCGATGCGCATCAATATCGAATCGAATCGTATCGAATCGGCTAGGCCTTTTCCTTCATTTCCACCTCGATGGCAACGTTGAGGACGGGCTCGTTTTCGTTTTCGTGTTCGTCGCATTTTTCTGTGGGATCGTGTCTGGACCCCTTCCTTTTCCCCCTTCCGCACCAGGGCACCACCACCCCGCGCTCCTCCAGGAGGGCCCGGTGGTACTCCACAAAGTCCCCGAGCTCCTCCAGGGTTTTCTCCAGGAGCGGGTGGAGGGCTGCCAGCGGCTCGGAACGGCGGTGGGCCTCCGACGACCCGGCCGCCGGGTAGTCCATTGCCGTTTTGCCCTTGCAGGAAGAGGACTCCAGGAGGTCCAGGGCGGCCTTCTCGGTGGCCCTCCCGACGGTCCCGACGCACTCCCTCCCGGTCTCGACCAGCTCCTCCACCGACCGGCCGCAGGCTCGAAAGGGGTGGTTGTTTGCGTTTGCGTCGGCGCTGGGGTTTGCCTTTGCCTTTGCGTCGGCGTTTGCCTTTGCGTCTTGGGTGCAAGGTTCGCCGGCGGTCCGGGCTTGCGGGAGGAGGTCCCATGGGTTTGGCTCCCCCGAGACGTCCACGTCCAGCCGCTGCGAATAGCCAGGTTGCTCTTTCTCGTTGGACGCAGGGGAGGCCTCGGGGGTGGTGGCCGGACGGCTAGGGGTTCGAAAGCCCAGGCCCAGGGAGGTCGTCCGCTCCACCATTTGTTCCGCGGCCGCTTGTGCGGTTTCGAAGAGGTCCATCCGGAAAAAACCGTCGTCGCGGGTTTCGTCGGCGGTGTTGTTGTTGTTGTTGTCGGCGGTGTTGTTGTCGCTGTTGTTGTTGCTGGTCTTGTCGCTCTTGTCGCCGCTGCCGCTCTTGTCGCTGGTCGGGCTGGGTTCGACGGTGGTCTGTTGGTTCGGGCGCGAGAGGCCGTGTGCCTCGTCGAACACTTCGTCGAATGCCTCGTCGAATGCCTCGTCAAAGGGCTCATCGTTGCTGGAGGGCCGGAGGGGGTCGCCTCCGCCTAGATTGCTGTCCTTGGCCGTGTCGCCTGGAAAGGAAGCAGAAGCCATGACCGAAACGGGGCTCTCCGGCATTGCCATCGACGTTGACGTTGACGTTGACGTTGATGTTGGCTTTGGCACTGGCATTGCCTCGCCGCTGTCAATGCCAGTGTCAATGTCAATGTCGACCATAGAGGGCGAGGTTCTTCCGGGAAAGGAGTGCATCGGTGCCCCTTCCCTTTCGCCGTCCTCGGACAGCTGGTTGTACGACTTGCGGGGAGAGAGGATGGACCGGAGTCCTTTTTTCTTTGCTTTCATTGCCATGGCGGGTGCTGTTGCTGTTGCTGTTGCTGTTGCTGTTGCTGTTGCTGTTGCCGATTCGGTTTGGCTGTGTGCAATGGGGTGGGTTGCACGGGGAATGCCGGAGTCTTCTGCGGTACTCGTATGCTAACAGTACGTACTCGTACTCGTCTCGTACTTGCACTCAAAAGATGCCCGTACTCGTACCGTGGTGGTGGAACGGAAGGTGCAGCAGATGGAGCGACTGTTCTCTCGTTGCCCCGGTTGGTGATGCCGAAGATTTACGAGTAGCGGTGTAAGTACTTGTAGTGCATTGGGTCGGAACTTCCTATCTATCGAATCGAACAAGAGCATGCGCGGAAAGAGGATTCCTTGCGGCACACGGAAATTGAATTCAATCGACTTCTACAGTAATTGAATGGAATCGAATCGAATCGAATCGAATTCAATTTTGCACCGGCCGTGCCGTACAAACCGTACCATGCCCAACGGCAGAATCATCGGCGTCACCGCGGCAACGAACAACAACGGACCCACCGACACCTGCCTTGGCATCACCGATCCATGTTCGATGATTTCAAAAACAAATGCCGCCCGTGCCGAGCCATGCCGTGTGTTGTGTGTACGCGCTGCGCCATTCCCTCGTTTCCAAACCCCCATACGGTACCTGCGTACGGTACGGTGCGTACGGTACCGTACATCCCAGCGCCAATTTGTGAGCCACACGGGCCGGACGGATCCGGAATTGCCCCAGCGCGAATCCAGACTCCCCCCCCCCCTCGGTTGCCGCGCAATTCGAACCGTTCGCATCGCATCGCACGGACCGGTCCCGCCGTCCGATTGGCCGAGCGCCACGTGCCGGGGATGGATTTGGTGTTCGCCGGTATTACTAGTACTAGTGGTAGTGGTACTAGTGGTACTACTAGTGGTAGTAGTGCTGGCTGCTGCTGGTGGTGGTGGTGGTGGTGGTGTACTACTAGCATCCTCGCCATCCAGGCATAGTACTATCCAATACAGTACTACTAAAACTAGTACAACTACAGCCCAAGTCTGTCCTCACCCCTTGCCATCCTCGTGTCTGTGTTTGTTGTTATGCTTGAAGAGTATGTTACTTCCCTCCACACTCCAGTGGCACCATGGTTTGTCCTCATCCTTCTTGCAAAAATGATGAGTGACCACCAACTAGGTACAAAACAATCTTGCTGCCTGTCAAACAACAAACAAACAACATTGCTGAAAATGGCATCCATTCTTTTAGTAGTGGTAGTGCTATTACTTGTTACAAAGAATAAACAATTTGCCAAGAAGCCCTTCTTCTTGCTCCTTGCTGCCTCCTGCCTGTTTCCAACAAACTTAAAGTGGTGGGGCAGCAATGATTTTGACTTTGATTGTTGTACTAGTAGTAGCAGTATTGCTTCTTGTTGAAAAATTCATCATCTTCAACAACAACAAGAGAAGTAGTAAGTAGTACCAGCACCACCAGGACAGCACCAGCAAGACAAAGCTAAGAGGAGGTGGTGCTTCACACCACAATCTTGTGCCATTTGTGACACTTTTCTAAACTATACTACAGAAGAAAGGTTTGTTTCACTTCTTGTAATAGTGGTAAGGCATCTTCTTGACAAATTTGCAAAACAATGTTTATGGTTTGCTTGGTGAAAATGTTGATTGGACTGGCACTCCAGTTTTGTCAAATCAGACAAGAAGGGCAGAGACAATTTGTTTTGGAAGATTATTTTGAGCACTCCTACAAAAATAACCGGCCTCACCAACCAGGATTACAGTAGTAGTAGGTAGTAGTTATAATCATAATTGTTTACCACCACCATTCACTTCTTGTTTTCTCTGCTGTGCCCTTCTTCTTTGCTGCATTCTTGGTAGAAAGAATGATGAAAACAAGCAGCTTTGTTCAAGGTGGCCAACCTGATTCACCACCCCCAATCCGTGCAATCTGGACCTCCCAAGGAATCTGCAGTTGGCTACAATAGTACTGTATCTTCCCACTTGGTGATAACACTGCTGGTTTTGCTGTGTCAAATCATCATGCAACTACAGCCTGATTGGTGCAGGCCAGGAACTTCTTCAAATATACTACTAGTAGCCCCCCCAGCAGTGGTGTTTTCAACTCAGTCCAAAATGAGCACTGAGAAGTCAATGCACCAGTGGGTCAGGGACATATCACACAACCCATTTTGATATTGATGGATTGAATGTTGAAGATTGTTTGAACTACAATGAAGGTTCAAGGGAAATCAAAAAGTCGTGAACATAAAGATGTTCTGCAGTGTTCTCCTCCTCTTCACTACACAAATTCTTCCCATCATGCTTGTTGTTTGTCTGTGATTACAATTTGGTCGTCATAGTACTAGTTGTATCAAAGTTTGGCTGGTGCTGGGAGTACTGTTGCTTGGTGATACCACGGTTGAATCTATGTGATTCTTCACAACTGATTTCACTACAGCCAGAGGTCAATCTTCTTGAAGGAAGGTTGGACACAAGAGACTGCTCCCAAGATAGTATCAAAATTGTTGGATTGGAAAAAGATCCCAATACTCAGGTTTAGGAGGTCCCAGGAATTATTGGTGTCAAAGCTTTGCTATTCTCCAGTGCCCCTGACACAAATACTGGTCTTCCACAGTAGATTAACAAATAATATGCTAAGGGAAAATATTAGAAAAAGAATGTGGAAAACTCATGCGGAAGATGAGTTCTTGAACAACTCTCAAAATACCATCTACATCATTAAATTTCATGAAGAAGGACCCAAAATCATGAGAATGTGAACAGAAGATGGATTAGGACTTATTCTTCTTTCAGGTTAAAAATTCAAACAAAGTAGTACTAGCTTCAAAATCAAGGGTCAATAAACAATAGTTTTTGTACTACTACTAGTAGTAATACACAGTACCATGTGTCCACCACACAAGAACTTTCCAAATTTATATACTCCTTTTGATAATGGTGTTATGTGTCATCATAAAACAAACATAGCCATAAACCACTAGTAAAATCATTGATTCTTAATCATTCTGCTATTAATTCTGAGATAAGAATGCTGAACATGGCAAGTTCCTTGTCCATAAGAATGACTTAATTGAATTTAGCTAGAAGTGTCTTTCTCAAAGTACCCAAACAAAGAAAATATTGATTCAAGTTATGGCATTGTGATATGGGAATCCAACTGTTGGTAGAAGTAGTAGTAGTGATTGGAAGAACAAGGCACTCCTTGCACTAAGACACCTGCACTTCAAAATACCAAAGACAACATCAGCATCACCAATATGCACCAGTCTCAACAGGGACAATAGAAACATTCATGAAAAATAACTCAAACTATTAGTACTAGTAGTACTGGTGTGCCGTGAATAATTGACTGGTGTTCACAAACTGATTTGGCTCCTGGTGGGAGTTGAGGTAAAGTCCCAGCAAACGCTCCACTACTAAGAGGATAGCAAACATTTTTGTAGTAATGTTCTTCTTCTAAGAATTGTTATCAAAATGGACCCAGTAATACTAGTAAAAGTATTGTAATTTTCAATCCTTTACTCACCACCCCCTACTACTACTATCAACTACTTCTTACCACGTACATAACAGTACTATCTTCTTGCTTGAAACACAGTATGAAAGACAACAAAAACATATAACTCTCCTCTAGTTGTATAAAAAATGGGTCTTCTGACATTCAATATTCTTATTGAAAACTACTGTCAGTCTTCTTCATTCTTGGTCATCAACAGCAGAATTGGATTTCAGGACCACCGTACTGGCCTCACTACTAGTAGTACTACTTCTGCCACAAGAAGAAAATACAGGAGTGCATCATGTGAAACCCTTCTAGCTTTACCAAGCACCACACCAGCTTTTGATGAAGTTGTTATTGGCATTCCTATTAATTTAGATGGTCTAAAAGTCTAAATGGTCTACTTTAGACTTTTTAGTTTCTTAACAGGAATCATTAAAAACACCAGGGCCCCAATGGACATTTTTAAGGGGCTCTTCTAGTCTTATAGGAATTTGGAATCTCAACAATTATGACTAAGACTGGAAAAGTGCACCTGTGCTTTTTTTGGGTAATAATGAGCCATTCAATGGATTTTAATGGATTTTCACCATTCTTCTTGGATTCGGGTCTAGATTGAGACTTCTTTCTGTCAAGCGTGAATCCAGTGTTGACAGAAAAGAGTCTAAAGAATTGGACTAGATGGTCTCTTTTTGGTCTGTCTGTATGTCAAAAAGTAGACCATCTAGATTGAGGGGAATCACCCATTAGTACTTTAAAGTTGAATAGTAAAAATGAAGTTGTCAAAAATTCCACAGGGGGGACATTTTCTAAGTTTGGACACAAATGGAATATGATTTTTGACAATTAGCGCCACCCCCAAGGTTTGTAATTTGTGAACCCTGCGTCCGGTACGAAAAACTTGTGCTCGTAGTCTTCACTTACTGTACCGTATCTTTCTTACCAAAAGATGAGATTTTCCGTTCAGCTCGAATTTCAACGGATCTTGACGAGAATACCGGCCGGTAGGAAAAGGTTTTACCGAAGGCTTTTCAGCAGTTGATTTCCCCCTGTTATTTCTTCGCAACAGCAACATCGTTCGACAAGAAACCCCGAACCAAACATCATCTACCCATCTCATCTCATCCCGTCACGGCAACAACACAAAGCGCAACTACCATGAACTTCACGAGCTTCCTCGGAAAAATCAAGGACCAGGCAGAAGAATTCATCGAGCAGAACCCCGAGCAGGTGGAGAGCCTGAAGCACCAGGCGGTGGGCTTTGTCAAGACGGTGGTAGACAACGAGGCCGAAAAAGAAAAGGAGTCCAGCGGAAAGCCCCAGACCAAGGCAGACGAAACCAAGGCACAGATTTTGGGTGTGCTGAAACCCAAGCTGGACGAGTTTACCGAAAGCTACAACGCGCCACCCCAAGAGGAAGAAACCAAGCCCCCTCCCGGAAAACCCTCGTACCTCATCGGAAAGCCAAGCAACGACCAGGGGGAGGAGGCGCCCGCAAAACCAGCGCCCGCAAAACCATCCTATCTGATCGGCAAACCGAAAAAGGACGACAACAAGGAAGAGGAGGTTGAAGAGGCGGCCCCCCCTTCGAAACCGGCGCCTGGCAAGCCCTCCTACTTGATTGGCAAACCAAAAAAGGACGAGGAGGAGGAAGAACCGGCCGAGGCGGCTCCTCCACCAAAGCCATCGAAGCCAGCGCACGGCAAGCCTTCCTATCTGATCAAGAAGAAAAAAGATCCGGCGGAAGAGGAAGAAGCGGCCTACAACGAGGCCGTCCAGGGCAGCGAGTAGCAAGCAAGGGCTCGCGCATTCTATCCCTTGTGGTTCTCGACCGTCCCGAGGATTCCCCCATTGCCCCCCTGGTATTTTGTCGTCGCATCCAAGTCGTACGGTGCATAGTTTGTGTCCAACAGCGCGACCACACGGTGCCTGGTCAACGCTGCTACAACGTGTGCATCGTCCCATATGCTGCATAATTCATAATTGAGTACCGTGCCGAATTGAATTGAATTGAGTTGAAAGGAATTTAATTGAAAATACTACACTTTTCGAAGCGATCGCACGCACTTGTATCTATACATCTTAAAATGGTAGTGAGCAGAAGTACATGCTGATCCATTTCTAGCATGGTTGGCCTGCGGCGTGGTTCTTTAAGGTCATTAATTCTTGGCTCGACCATACCAGAACCTTATGCCATACCAAAGCACGTATTGAATTGCTGCCAAACACAGAACGTCGAAACCCGATGGTTCTACAAGCTTGTTGGCGGTTGACTTTTTGTCGTGCACCATCCATCGGGCATTGAATCACAAAATATATGGATAGAAAGCTACCATTTCGTCTCCCGAATGGTGGTGTCGTCCACGTTTGTGTATTTCGAAAAGAATTCGCTAGCTTTCTTGTTGTGGTGTGTTTCGCATCACCTAGAGAATTTAACCGCATTGGTGCAATTGCCTCTCGAAAGCCCACCGCAAACCATTGGAATTCATTCCGTAGTTGCGACCGTTACCGAGTTGCTTTGATACAGGGAGCCAAAAAATGAACCGAGTAAGAAACGAGTGATCCAAGAAAAAATGTATCGCTTGTCCGATATCGAAACAGAGTTGGTCTGCCTCCCATGTTGCAAAACAACAACGAGTGGCTGGCTGAATTTCGATCGTCCAAAGACCGAGCGAAACGAAACGGCAACGCTTTGGCAGCGTTCCCGTCTCGGGCGGCACTCTACCCCGGCATTAACGGACACACACGCCATGGAAAGGCAAAAGGCATCCAACACGAAACCGGGAAGAACAACAAAAAACAGGAGAGTCGTTCGACATAAAAACCTACCTTACGACTCCCTTGTCGGCGAGTCATCATGCTGCCGACGAAGGAATGGATTTCAATTCCTCGATTCTTTTTTCTGTCCCCTCGAAGAGTTCCAGACATCGAATCACGGTGCGGTAGGTGATGCTGTCCGGCTTCATGTGGGCTTCCCCTTTGTCGCAGCGATGGTTCATTTCCTTCAGAATCCGCTCCGACTCGGCCGAAGCGTTGTCTTCGCTCGACCTGGCCCATGCGTCCAGCAAGATGTTGTAGGTTCGGACATCCGGTCCAGTCTTTTCGTGGGTACGAGACTCCTTGTTGTAAGAATAAGAGTAGTCGCTATCCATCGCGTTGAATATTGCGGTGGCCCCCTGGACGTCCCCCCGTTTGGCGAATGCATTCATGATCGCGTTGTAGGTAACGGTGTCGGGCCGATAGTACATGTTTCTATAACTATACCGAGCAAACACTTCAGCTAGGACGTCCCGGGCCCGGCCCAGAGAATCTTTCTGCAGGGTGCCTGTCTTCGGCTGCTTTTTGTTGGAAGAACTCATCCCCATCATTTCTTGCAGCAAGAGTGCCGCTTCAAGGGGTGCGTCTTCGGAGTTGGATTTTGACCACGCATCGATAAGAATCGTGAAGGTCTGGACGTTGGGTTTGCAATTCTTGTCTCGCTTTAGCATTTCGAAAATCTCTGTCGCCCCCTCGGCATCGCCTTGCCGCGCATAGGCATCCATTACGGCGGCATACGTAATGGTATTGGGTCGAATATCTTCCTTGGTGTCGTTGCCTTTGCACTGGGCGATCATGCTCTCCAGAAGATCACGGGCTCGTTGGGGAGCGTCCTGCAGATTGGACTTGCTGTAGCAGTTGATGACGGCACCGTAGGTGATGGCGTCCGGTCCTTTCTTGATGTCACCATCCGAACACATCTGAATCATTTCCTTGAGTAGCAGCTCTACTTGGTTTGGAGCATCTTCGTTGTTGGATTTCGACCATGCATCGATCAAGATGTTGTAGGATGGCACGTTTGGCTCGGCGTCTTGATTTCCAGAATGGTAGTCCTTCTTCATCATGTCGAACACCTCGGAGGCTCCTTTGGTGTCCCCCTGCCTTGCATAGGCATTCATTAACGAACCATACACAACCGTATCAGGCCTAACGCTATTTTTCTCGCTACTATTTTCGTACTCGGATATCATTGTCTCGAGAATTGTTCGGGCTCGGGTTGGAGCATCGTAGGCGTTGGATTTGCTGAAGCAATTAATGACAGCACTGTACGTGATGCAGTCAGGTCCCTCGCCCCGCTCGAATTTGCCTTCAGACTCCATACGAATAATTTCTTGTAGCAGGGACTCCGCATTTTCTGGTGCATCCTTATTATTGGATTTTGACCATCCATCGATGAGAATATTATAGGTCTGCACCTGGGGTTTGGCTCCATTGTTTCCCGATTCGAAGTCCTTCTTCATCCTTTCGAAAACCTCTGTCGCTCCCTCCACGTCTCCGCGCCTTGCATGTGCGTTCAATACAGAGTTGTACGTGATGGCATTGGGTCTGGCGATATCATGACCATCGTTACTATCACTGCCTATGCTTTCAAACCGAGACACCATGGTTTCTAGAATCCTTCGAGCACGTTCCGGAGCATCTAGTGCATCGGATTTACTGAAGCAATTGATTACGGAATTGTAGGCCATTGTACTAGGGCCGATTTCGAGATCTCCCCTAGCGTGCCAATCATTCATGGTTGTCAGCAACTTCTCGGCGGTTTCCGACAAGTCCTCGCGGTTGGATCGAGAACAGGCATTGATCATTGTACTAAAGGTGTACGCATCGGGCTTGGCCTTGGTGTTGCCTCCCTCCTTGAAATCTTCGGTCTGCAAGGCAAAGACTGAACAGGCACCATTGAAGTCTCCCTGCTTCGCAAAGGCATTGATGACCGAGTTGTACGCAACATTATCCGGTCGAATGCACGGGTTTCCATCCTTTTGGAATGTGGTGTACATTCTTCTCAGGGTTGCCAGGGCTTGTTGTGGAGCATCGCGTCGTCTTGACTTGCTCCATGCGTTGATGACTTGTGTGCAGTCGATCGCATCAACCATTGGACGGGTCTTCTGAATCCTTCTTCTTTCGTTTCTGGAAACAGTCGTGTTCTCTGTATTTTTGTCCAGACCATAGCGAAGAAACATGAGATCCAAGATACCCTTAGCTTTGATTGCTCCCTGGGGAGATGTATTCTTCAACTCCTTGCGGAGTTCGTTTCTCAATTCTCGGATGCTTGGAAATGTTTTTTCTTCTTCTCCCTGATCCGAAGTGGTCATCTTGTCCTTTCTAGAACGTATTCTCGACCAAGTTCCATTATATCGAAACTTGTGAAACCCGTTGGAACTGCTGCTGCTAGTCCGGAGTGCCGCTATGGCATTTCGAGTCGTCGGTGCGAACGAAATAGTCCCTGCCACCCATATCGTGAAAATGCCGAGCCTTAAAGCACTTGGGCATCCCATGACGTTGCTACAATTTCCGACTTGCAATGGAACAAACTAATCAAAGCAGAGATTGTTCACCCATGATGAAAAAGGAAATGAAGCTCATGAAGCATACGGTACCGTACGTGAATCGTTCCAGCAAAGTACCAAACATCAGAATTAAAAATCAAAAATCAAAATCATTTCAACGAAACAACCAACGATGTCTAGATGAAATTCGTGGTTCAGGCAAAAAACATGTAGAACTACGGAGTATGGTACTGTACTACGTACTGTATGATGTTACTTCTAATGATGTATGATGTTTCATACATACATATGTATAGTATGTAAGTATGAATATGTATCAACAATCAACAAGGTACGAACTTATGAGAATTTAAGTAGATACTGTATGTATGTACGTACTGTAGGAATGAGGAATACCGGTAGATAACGAATATCTGCCGTAAGCCGTCCCAATACTCCTACGGCAGCAAGGGAAGAAGCAATTCATTGGTCGTTCGGAATTGAATTATCGTTGCAGAAGCTTAGAGCAAATATCTTAATTACAGTATGAAGAATTTTGCTTAAGTACGAGCCAAATGATTGATATTTTTTAGTTGGCGATAGGCCACTAATGAGGAAAAAAAACGGAAAAATCTCGAGTTCAAAACTTGATACTCTATGGAAGAGCGATGCGAGCTTTTTTGTTATGTTCGTTCCAGAATTTTCTTGATTTTTTAATTTATCAACCGGTCCATCGATCAACCGTTATCCTATCAAAACCTCATAGTAGAAAATACATTTCAATCCTGGCTGACCTTGAAAGGGAGCTGATGCGTATTGCTATAGTTAATAACTCTGGATGAAAGGCAAAATCAACAGTTCTATAATCGAAATAGAAAATAAGAACAAAATGAAATTTGGGATTTTTGGTAGCAAGAAGAAAGATGGGCATGAAGCCGATCCTACTGCTGGCGTTTTATCGGACCCGGAAGAGGCAGAGAGCGGGGTGAACATGAAATGGAATGACATGTATGTTGAAATCGACGATGATGCCAACGAAACCATTGCGAACGAAAGCTATAACAGCACAACCGAAAAACGGTGTGGCGGTCGCACGATTCCTGGGTCGATGTCAGAGCCAACGATGGATGGTTCTAGGATGAATTCCGCCTTTGTAAACAAGTCTTTCGCAAACAATGAGGAAAAGCAGGATGATGGCCCTGATTCACTAGAAGTTCCAAGCAACGCTGACAGTGGTACCATTACCAATTCTACGACGGAGGATTGCACGATCAACGTGGACGATTTACCCGACCATCTTCCTCAAGGTGTCGAAACCAACTCGAAGGATTTTTCGATCACAAACAATGGAAAATACCTGTCAAACAACTACTTTGCCAATGCGCAACTGATGAGATGGAAACACGCCGCAGAAGAAGGTCCGATCTTTATCCAGGTGCTCGCGGCATTGGCTGCCATTGGTGCCATGACAACCACAATCTATCCTCTCGTAACATTCTATACCGTCTGGACAGCCCCGCTTTGTATATGTGCATTGCATACAACTGTACTGTGCAGTCTGATTGTTACCTTCGAAATGCGTGCCTGGTGTGTCCGAAATCCGATGAGCTTGAGAGCAAGAATTCGCAACTTGTTGGTTCGATATCTGAATGTCCTACGCTTCTTGTGGGGTCGAGGATTGCTGTATATATTTGCCGGTTCCATGAACATTACAATTTACTACAAGCCCTACACATCCTACTCTGGTTTCACCTTGATAGCGCTGGGAATCTTGGCCATTATGGTGGGTGGAAGCTCCGCACTCAACCTCGAACACCTACGTCTTTCGCTGACTGATCGTTCCTTCCTTTGGAGCAAATTTGTGGAAGCCGATTCCGATAGCGACAACATGATCAATCTCACCGACTTTTCGAATCTTATCTGGAGCCTCGGCTTGGAACTGGACGATTTCTATACCTACCGTGCTTTTTCCGACGTCGACAAGCGATCGCATTCGCACATTACTTTCGATGAGTTTCAATACTGGTGGATGGCAAGCCAGGATGGCGATGAAACTGTTTTAACAATGGCCGTAAGCAAAATTTCGGCGTTCCCATCGGTTGCACCCTCGCATTATGCTGTTGCAAACTCAAATTACGTTCCTAAACACATTAAGGATCACATTCCTGCTCACATTAAGGTATAAATTGTGTGGAGAGAGAAAGAAAGAGGTAGAGAGCGAGAAAAAAGAAACATGCCGTCCTCAACAAACAATATTCTCAACGTGCTCAATAGTATTCGCAACCATACACTACAGCAATTCTCTTGCTGAAATCGGAAAGATAGTGATTCATTTATCATTCCATATCACTTCTTCTACAGATCATGTATGTCGCAGTACGCTAGCTGCTGGGCTTCAATCTGCAGAAACGAATCACGACTTATCCAATCAACACAACACCCATTATCCTCTGTACTTCTACAACTGTCAATACTTTTAGAAGATGTGGTGCAAGAAAGAAGAATGGGAGTCATCAGAAGTATTTCCATAGTTTACTTCTTACTCTACTGTACTATGGACGTAGTTTGGCGGAAAGAAATTAGGAGGCCAACAAAAAGCAACCATCAAGTTGAATTACAGTACCACCAATAGTTTTCAAATTATTATTCGTCTCGTAAATCCCGGGTAACTAGTGAACCATTGTTTTGTTCCCATTCTTCGCATCGTGTGAGGTTTAGGGAAGAATCCTGTTCGGAAAGGCCCATCGTGAATGCCAATTAATCCCAATTTTACGAGGGGACTATGGATTCACGAAAAGGAGGTATTGGTCGAAACGCCCTAATCTATCTGTGCAACAATCTACAAAGATGTGATAGATTTACTTTTTACTAATCTGTCACTCATGATTCATTGTGTCAAGACTCGAGTTACACTATACAGTAATGCCTCAACACAATGGTGGACCCAATTTTTAGATCCACTGATACGGGTTCCAAAAGAGTTACGCTCGAGGAAAAGCAGACATGATGTTTGCCAACAGGTGCAACAGGAAGAAAAATTGCAAACCAAGGCGATTTTTATACTACTAGAAATTAAATAAGGCAATCGAGACCAATGACCATCGTAATTCGTAATCTTCAAAACTGTTGTATTACTAGTGTTGTTTATTTAGTTTCTACTTCTGGCGTAGAGGCAAGAAGTTTCAAAATTGTTTGTGACGAGATTTCTTAGCATTGTTACGCGAATGAAATGAACAATGAAATGAACACTTCACGAATTAACCTGGCGAAGCTCGTTTTTTACCCCCTAATGGACGACGACAAATCAAGGCGTGGATATCCTTCAGAGGTCGATCTTTCATCGATGAACCTTGCCTATTACTCTGGATTGGAATAGCAGACCAACGAAGTTGTTTCTGCTCATTTAACCAGTGATCATTGGTCAGCCTTTTTGTCTTAAGACATTCAATCGGAGTCCCAATAAGGCGCTTTTTCAAATCGAAATCCTTGCACAATTCGCGACGAAGAACACTAGTGCTCTTAACAGCGATTGGAGTTTTGTCTTCTTTCTTTTCTTCTCCTTCAAGATCACCTTTCATTACGTCCTTTTGTTCGGACCATCGTGCGTTGTTCGTATTCTTGATGTTATTCAGCTTTGACACCGTCAGTTTCTTGAACAAGTTTGATCGTTTGAGAATTGCCGAGGAAGCCTCCCGCAATTTCATGTTTAGCAGCTCAAGGTCATTTTCGATTCCACGCTGTCGTGCCTCGATGGCAAATGGTGCCGAATGACTCTTGTAAAAACCTGCTAGCCATTGAATCTTCTCTTCAATTCTGTCTTCTTTCTTTCCTTTGAATTTCATGAATTGGGCTTCGAGGACAAGTTGGCGAATACTTTCAGCACGCAATGATCGCCTGCGTTTTTCTTTTCGCAAGGCCATTGGCGTACTTAATTGCTCACGCGTTTCCTCCACATTGAACAAACGATATTCTTCATGGGAGTACCAAATCGAATGGGCGTAGTTGAGGTGGGTTTCCACCAGAATTATGGTGTCGGCTTGTCGAAAGCGGACTTCCTTTTCTGTTTGCGGGCTGGCTGAGGGCGTCATCTTCTGCAGAGACTTTGCAGGCGCTGTGATCGAAACAAATCTCTTTGGTACAATCGTCGTGTTAAAATTGCACATCATAAGGTACCGTCGTTCTCGAAACTCTGAAGAAAACAGACAACTAATCTATTTTTGTCCTCTTTTATGAGAACGGCTTGGCAAAAAATGGATTTTTTTCGGCACAGACAGGACGCTTCAGTCAAAAAAATAATGATGTCTTCTGATTTTTTCATGTTAATTATTTAATACGATCTGGAATGATGTCTTTTGATTTTTTCATGTTAATTATTTAATACGATCTGGAGTACTTCTAGATGCAAACAAAGAACTTTTTTTCTTTCTAAGAATAGAACATGATCATACCTTGTCAGAACTTCAACATTCAATTTCCAATCTGGGAAGAGGCTTAGTAAAAAAAGAACTAGGTTACAATGAGAACGGAGGATAAGGATGAGACGCAGGTACGGAAAGAACTCTTATTCTTCCGGTGCGGCAGGGCTTGTACTGTGTAACTTCTATTTAGTAGAAACGTTCCGCTCAATGGGACTGAGGTTCGAAGTTGAAGCCATAGTAGAGTGGTATTAAATAATAAAATTAGGAAAATGATTCATTTCCTGTTGTTCTTCTCAGTAACTTGATGCATCATTTCACATCCTTTTTTAAATAATAAGCCCTAGGTGTAACATTGACATGCGATTGAAAGATGGTGACCCGTAATCTGTAACGCAGAGGTTGGAGTGCACCTATCATTTTGGGCGTTGAAGAAACAGTTGTGACAGTGAATGGATGTGCAATTATTACTACGGTGATTCTGTAAGCATCAATTTTCTTCCGAAGGTTATCTCACAAAGCAGGATTGTCAAAACAAACTGAAAATAACACAGGTGAACAGAAGCTTCGTCGTGTTTAAGGCATCATAGCTAGCACTATAAGGAATATCAGACTTGACCATGTGTATGAAAGTTTCTTGCCAGCACTGCGGGAAACCAACTTGGAAAGGATGCGGAATGCACGTCCAGAAGGCTCTCGAGGACGTTAGGTTCGAAGAACGATGTCCGAATTGGCCGCAGGTAAGATGAAACGGTACATCATGCTTCAAATTCAATGGTTCGACGCAAACATTCTCACTCGTTTGGTATCACACAACGCAGGGCGCATCCAAACCATGTAATTTAAGTCAGAACACTGAAGCGGCTACAAAAGAAACTAACAAACCATCAGAATGAACTATTAAAATTGAAACGGAGATTGTCCCGTAGGAATGAATGACAAAGAATCATGGTTGGAAATATTACGATATTGTATCGGGGAAGTATAGTTTCTACCATCAATGACGACTGAACGCTTCAAAACAAAGAGAGGGTATCCAAAAGCTTTTTCCAAATCTGAAAATTTAGGATTGGATCATACTTGCCTTCGGGGTGCCAAAATTGTTCACTTACAGTGCATTACCAAACAATCCCAACCCTTTTTTACTGAATTGTGATACAGAATTCTTACATACCGTATTGTTATCGAGTGTAAAAATTTTCAGGATCTGAAACAAGGCGAACAATAGGGTGATGTTTTGTTGCGTCTGCTTCAAGATTATGATGCTTCCTCATTAACTTTACATTATTTATTAAAAAAATAATTACATGGCGTACGTCTTGCATCTGCAACATCAAAGTAGAGCAAATTTAGCGTTCGGTCATGTGTATGGTAGAATTCGATTCTTGATTGATTCGTGAAGAGTTCCTGGACAGCGTGCACATCTAGTTCTCAATAAATGCGAACTGTCTTCGCGTTAATATTTCAGCTAACAATTTTCTTTATCTCACTCATTGCGCAGGGATATTGAACCATTTGTACTACAATCAGAAGTAGTTGTTGCTGACGACACTGAAATATTTGCCAACTAGGTGAGCAATGTGGCGAGATAGAGTTTTGAGATGTGGGCATAGAGTCTTTCCTCATCCCAAAAAGTGGCGAAAAACCTTTTTTGTAGTATTAGTATAGTACATTAGAACACATTAGGTGACTGGCATTTTTCTCTAGAACGAAAGTTCGTTTCTTTGATTTTATTCCTTTTCCTTCCGTCTTCCATCTATCGGGTCTAGAATTCGTGACATGTATTGCGCCAACGCCATTACAGACCGTCATCTCACAAGCACGTACCGTTTCGTAACGTACGCACCTATTGGAAAGTTGGAGAAAAAAATCACATTCGCTATTGCAGCTCAAGCATGAAGGGCGGATTCGAAGGGCGGATTCGAAGGGCGGATTCGATTCCGCTCTAAGCCACGGCTTTGCTGCTACTTTGCGCCTCATCCACCGGCCGCTCCGGCTATCTTGGCGGCCTCCTCGACCTGCGCCCTCGTCAGTCGGATCTTCTGCCGATCCCTGGCTTCGGTGTTGGGCCGTTTCGTCGGGCTTTCCTCCGATACCACCCGCGTGATTGGTTGGTGCGTTCTTTGGTCGAGGTTTTTGTGGGAAAGAGGAGGCGCCATTATTTTGCGAACCGGTACCGCCGTTGCCTTTGCTGCCGCTTCTACGATTGCGTTGACGTCGACGTGATCGGCAAAGGTCTTTACGAATTCCTTGGCGGATTCCAGTTCGAGGGCGGCCCCCTCCTCCCTCGACGACGATATGCTCGCGACCTCGGGGATGAACCCAAAGGCGATCTTGTCGGTTTTTTGTTCAAAGTACGATCCCACTGCCTGTTTGCAGTTGTCGAGGGAATAGTACCCCTCGAGGGGCAACCGATTGAAGACCGATCCCAGCACCGGAACCCCCCTTGATTCGAAATAGGTCGCGTTCAGATTGAAGGAGTCGACGGCATCGCCGACACCCTTCTTTCCCACCAGCAGGACCGGAACGGGTGGCCGCCTGCCCTGGCCCTGGCTTGTTTGGCTTTGTATCGGCCCGCAGGCCGCGGCCACGGACGCGTTGTCCGTCCCGCAGATGGACCCCACGGCGGGGTATCCCACCCCGTCGACAATCACGATCCTCTTCCCCTCGGCAATGGCATCGACGGCCTCCCCGGCCTGTTCCAGGAGCACCTCGCTCGGTGCGGTGTCCCCCGCCAGAAAGGCCCGGGTGAAGCCCTTGTAGTAGACGATCGGCCCGATGGCACGGTGGGAGACACCCAGTTCCTCGCAGTAGAGCGCCACCAGCTGGGTAGCCTCGCACTGCGTTGCAGGCTTGATGTAGGCCAGCGAGGAGGGAGGATAGCCAAGATCGTGAACCAGGGTCCCAATCAGGCCCATGCAGACGGAAGATTTCCCCACCTGGGACCGATCGCCGGAGACAAAAATCCTCAGCGCTTCGGTCTCTCCCTCCAGGCTCGGACCGGTCTTGGTTTTACCGGCTTCGCCGCCACCGGCGTCCGCGGGCCTTCCCTCGAAGATATTCCGTAGGGTGTCTCTGAGTGCGTTCAGAACGGTGAAGGAAGCTTCGTTGTAGGTTGGTTCCGAACTGGGCGTGGAGAGAAAGGCACCGAGGGTTCTGGAATCCAGCCCCCGTACCGGATGGAGCAGTGCTTCGGGGCTCCCGACGTCACCGTTGGCAACCACCACCAGGGCCGGGAGGTCCTCCGGCGCCAGGAATTGATCGACGGCGATGTCGATCGTCTCATCGTCGCTGGAATCCACCAGCATGGATCCTCCGATGGTGCGGCAATCGGCGTACTCCAAAATGTCCCTCGCGATGCTGGCATCGGTTCCAGCCTGTTCCCTGGACAGTTTCACGGCCCAGTCGCGTGCCGCGGAAAAAGCAAAGGCGATCTGCTGCATGACGATTTGCTTCGTCGTCTCGCGGCGGTTCTGTCCCTCGATTTCTTCCTTTCCGGCGTGCTCGGAGACGTCCTCGTCGCTCAGGGCCGGGGACAAATCGTGGTTCCAGGATCCGTGCAGCAGGACTACCGAGAGCGACTTGTCCGACAGGAAGGCATTTTCATCATCCTTCTTGTGGTTGGAAGTGGTCTTCATCAGATTGGAATGGAGGCACAGGCACTCCTTGGCCGAAAAATCCCACCGATAGCACGGAGTGTTCAATCTTGGCTTCCCAGATGGCATGTTGTTTTGCTCGTATCGTTTTGTGTGTTTTACACTTTCTGTTGCGTCATTAAGGATTGATTGGTTGGTTGGCTTCCAGCGAGGGCTTGCCGCTAATGAACAAAGGTCCTTTCTTCGATCTGGATGCACTTCTGTCGATAATTGATAACTAAGGTACTCTCACCCTCCAGCCGACGCAAGGACAACATTTGAGATGGTTCTATTCTGTTGTCACGTTTGCGATGAGTTTTGTACGATGTCATACGGTACCCACGGAACAGGGCTGTTGGTACGAGTACCAATTGGTACCAATTTTCGTGAAGCTGCGAATAGTTTTCAAAATCTTTTCTATCATTCGGAAGAAAAGATGTGTCTGCGTGTTTGCCGCACTTCACAACACCAACTGTAAGGTACGTACTATACTCTCCATAGCTACGTAGCATATGGTTCGAATGATGTTTTTCGTTTTTCGCAATATTCCATGGTACGTAGTAGAAGTCAGGGGTGTAGAAGTACGGTACGGTACGGTATGGTATGATATGGTATGGTACGTACCATGCGGTGGTAGGTACCGGACCAAACGTGAAGACGTACGTACGGTACGGCGTAAGGCAGGGTTTTTCAAGAGCTCAAGGGGTCGTTCATATTTCATATTCACACTTGTGACAAATCTACACCGAGAAAATCTAGGGTCTTCCTTTGCAGTTTTATGGATAAAAACTACTGCGGTACAAAGTATTTCTTCGAAGTACGTACTGCTGTGTGCTCATACGCAACTTCCAAGGAACGGCAATACTCTAAACGCTCACGAACAAAGCCGTTGGCACCAAGACACGAAACGAAACCACTATGGCGTTTTAGAACATTTCTAGTTGGTGTTTGAGATAGCTGCCGAAGAACCAACCGTGCGGAACATTTTTCTCGTGTTCCCGGTCGGTTGGTCTGCTCCTTGGTCTGATCCTTGGTTGCCATCCGAGCAGTCCATCGGATCGGCTGCAACCCGTACAGAAAATGGCAGAACCAAAAGAGTACCATGCCCTGCCACGAATCACGATAATGCCATGGGCTCTCCTCGATCGACTTTTTGCTTCTTGCCCTGCCACTCGTTCTCTCGTTGCGTCCACCGACCACACCATGCATCCGTCTCCGTCTTCTCGTCGCTACCGTCCCGGGCCTCTGCTTTGGTTCGCCGCGTCGTTGGCATCATCATGTATTTAACATCCGGTTGCATTCCTTGCCGCCTCGAGCAGGTCCCCCCGATCGACGAGTTTCTCCCTGGGTTGTTCCGGGTGCCGCTTTCGGTGGTCCTCCGCCTCGCGTTCCTCGATGGCCCGGTAGCCCTCCCAGTCAACGTACTCGACACCGCGGTCGTCCAGGAGGTCCCGGAGGGAGTGGCTTTTCGCGTTCTCGCTGCGGCTGCGCCTGGAAACGGCCCCGGCCTCCATGTCGGAGAGGATCGAGGCCACCGTATCCCTGGCGTCCCCGATGTTGGTCCCGATGATCCCCGTTGGGCCCCTCTTGAGCCACCCGGAGACGTACAGGGGGGCGAGGGAGGAAACCGCGTCCGGTTTTTCTTCGTCTTTGCCTCCGAGAAGCCGCCCGTGGTCGTTCCGGAGGACCCCGCGCTTGTCGTCGAAGCTCTCCGCCGTCCGGTCGTCGATCGGGAGGCCCCTGTAGCCGATGCTGACCAGGCAGAGATCGGCCGCCAGGTGCTCGGAGGCCCCGGTTCCGGAGGCGGCCTGCGCCCCGGGGGCGTCCCCCACCAGCTCGGTCCGCTCGCAGACGACGGAGGACAGGCGGGGGGGGGAGGACGGGGKGGGAGCACCGGTGGAAACGGCCTCGTAGCGCACGGGATTCATCAGGAACCGGAGGTGGACCTCGGTTGTGTCGTGGGCGTTGTCGGCCTCGCCGGGTTGTTGTTGGTGCTGTTGCTGTTGTTGTTGTTGGTGCTGCTCCTGTTCCTGCTCCTTTTGCGACACGGCGGAGTGATCGGTCAGGAGCTTGTGGATGCGGGTTTTGGGCCTCGTGAGTTCCTCCCTGGAGGTCTCCGTCATTCCCATTTCGAGCTCGTCGCTCCGGACCACAAAGCTCGCGTCGTGGCGGCGGAATGGCTCTGTTTCCGATTCGGTAGCGGTTTCTGTCCTCTCGGACGTTGCTTCCGCAAAGGCTTGGGCCTCGGTCTCGCGGAGCTTGGTGAGCTCCCGGACCTCCTTGATGGTGAAGGCTCCCTGGACGTGGCCCCTCCGGCCGACGATCGAAACCTTCCGGTGGACGGAAGAGGGCTCCCCAAGCGGACGCAGGACGTCCATGGCCCGCGTGGTGAGGTCCGTCGGATCGAGGCTGCTCCGGGACTTGGCCAGGATGCGGGCGCAGTCCAGCGCCACGTTTCCGTGCCCGATCACGACGATGGATTGCTGTTTTTGTGGTTGCTGCGGGTTGCCGCCGGTCCCCCCATCGTTGTTCCCGCTGCCGCTTCTGCCCCACAGGGCGGACCGGACCTCCTCCGTCACCCATCCAAAGTCGGGGTGCCCGTTGTACCAGTTGACGAACTGGCGGGCACTCAGGACGCCCCCCGGGCGGTCCCCCCGGCCCCCGGTGGTGGAAGGGCCCTCCCCTTTCACGTCCACGGGGAGGTCCAGCTCCCGGTCCGATTCGCAACCGTACGCCAGGACCACCACGTCGTAGAGTTTCCGGAGCTCGGCCAGCGCCACGCCCTCCGCCCGGACTTTTTCGCAAGCGCCCGCGTCCGCGTCCGTGCCCGCGCCCCCGATGCTCCCCCCCACCGTTACGTTTCCAAAGAACCGTACGCGGTGGCTTTCGGTTTCGGTGGCCTCTGGTTCGCCGGCTTGCTGCTGCTGCTGCTGCTTTTCCTTCCTTTCCCCAAAGAGGGCGTCAAAGTCCTTCTGGACGTTCTTGACCTCCGGGTGGTCGGGGGCGACCCCGTTCCGCACCAGCCCGTAAAGGGTTGGCAGCCGCTCGATGACGTCGATGTGGAAGATCGTGGGACAAGGGGACCGGTGCTTCGAGCCAGCAGAAGAAGGACCCGCTCCCTGCAGCAGGTACTTGGCGGTGTAGCACCCCGAGGGACCGGATCCGACGATGGCCACCCTCCAGGGATCTTCCGCCCTTGGAGAAGGGGCGCTAGACGAAGAGAAGGATCGACCGGCGCAGCCCTTCGGGAGAAGAACCCTCGCTCCKGTTCGGCTGCTTCCGGCGGCGATGCCGATTTTTCTGGCCGAATCGGTGGTCAAGGACCCAACCCAAAACCCCGTCGATCGAAAGACCGTGGCCGCCATGGTGCGTTGTCCTGGCTTTGGTTGTTGTTTTGTATTGTATTGTATTGTGCTGCGTTGCGGTGTGTTGTGTTGTGTTATGTTGCGATGCCACGGAGATTCCTCCCTCCCGAAACAGAAGGATCCGGATTGATGTTCTGTATTTTATTGTATTGTATTGTATTTGTTTTGTTTTGTTTTGTGTGTGGTTTGGATCGAATCAGAATCTGCTTGGCTCAGTTTGGTCAGGAGATGGGGTTCTGTTCGATCCATGCGTACGTACATACGTACCGTACGAGGTAAAGTATGGTACCCTACCGTACTCGTTCTTGTGACTCAAATGATTACGACACGGTGCGGTACATCTTAAAAGTACATATGTACCATACGTACGTACCGCAGTACTCATTCGCATCGATAGCTACTGCTGACATCGGGTACCATACGTACGAATGGAAGATGGAAGACAACAAGCACTGCACGGAATCACCTTCCCGTCCGCCAAGAACACACCACCAAACGAAATTCTGCCCGTAGTGTCAAACAATGGAAAGCCTCGAATGAATATGGTTCATGGCTTCTATTACTGTAATTACTTATTTTTGTTACCAGCAGTACTGCATTGATCTACCAACGATTGTGACGATTGTGCAATACCGCGATTGCTGTGGTGCATGACATCGCATGACATCGCGTCGCATCGCATGACATCACATCACACGCCATTGTAGTACAGTACGTACTGCCGTGATTGGTTGGTGTGTCGTGGGCTGTGCAGTGCTGTGCTGTGCAGTGCAGTGCTGTGTTGTGCAGTGTGTGGTACCGTACGGAGCACATGGCAGTGCGGCGGTGCCGTAGTGGCATGGTGTGTGCCACGCTCTGCCTCGACCCTTTTGTACCATACCGTTCCATTCCGTGCCACCATTGCACTCTACTATAACTCATCGGAAGGGCCACCGCCTGTCGCACCCTTGTCCCCGACGTAATCGTAATCGTCGTCGTCCTCGACGTAATCGTCGTCGTCGTCGTCCTTGTCCTTGTCCTCGGCGTAATCATCATCGTCGTCGTCATAAACACGGCCGGTGGGTTCTCGTTCCTCGCCATCGGTCTCCTCGTTTCCGTTTCCGTTTCCGTCCCCGCCCGCCACGCCCGGGCGCGGGTGGTGGTGCAAGCCGTGGCCCTCGGGGATCGTGTGGTAGCCGCCGGCCGCGGGCTGTTCCGCCCTCGCTTTGGCTCTTGTCGTGTCTTTTGCTTTTGCTTTTGCCCGGAGCTGCTGCAGCTCGACCGTCCCGAGGCCGCCCGAGCAGTCCCGCTTGAGCTCCATGACCTGCGTGGCAAAGTAGGTCTCGCCCCCAAAGCCCATGTAGTTGTCAAAGAGCTCCTGTCCGGCCAGGATGGGGGGGTGCTCCACGGCCGAGGTCGTCGCCCCGCTCGTGTAGGACCGGTCCCGGTGGGGCACGTACGGATAGACCATGGACTCCCGAAAGGCTTCGGGGACGCGAAAGGCCGGCCCGTCGGCCAGGGGGTCGAGTGTGAACTCGTTGATCCCCGGGACGTTGTAGCCAATGTTGGCCGTTCCGTTGCAGCCGTGGTTGACAAAGGTCAGAATGTTCGAGTAGACGCTGGTTTCGACGACGCCCCAGGGCTCGTCGTCGAATCCGTAGGCCTCGGCGTAGGTGGAGACGGACCGGTGGAGGTTCCACTTCATGAGGGGGGAGTCCCCGGGCAGCTCGTCGTCGTCGTCGTCGTCGTCCTCGTCGTCGTCATCCTCGTCGTCGTCATCCTCGTCCTCGTCCTCATCCTCGTCGTCGTCGTCGTCCTCTTCCTCGTCGTCGAACGAGTGCGGTTTGGGATCGGAATAGTCCCTGTAGGCCTTCATGTCCATGAGCTTGAGGGTGATCCACTTGCTGAGGGGGGGAAGGTGTACCGGGTAGATGTTGGTTTCCATCCCGATCATCGTCCCGTGGTCGAGTATGTCGACCGCCGTGAAGACCCCCCGGCCGGAGTTTTCCCCCTGGGTCGACTTGGCCACGTAGATGTTTCCCCCCGCGATGGGAATGTTTTCCTTGTACGGATCGTATCCAAACCGGCAAAAGTGGCGGTCGTCCTCGTCCATCTCTCCGTTCGCCTCCAGGTACCGGCAGTAGGACTCCCCGCTCTGCCGGGAGGGGAACTGGAGCGGCAGCATGGCCGGTGCGTCAAAGTGGAGGAGGCCGGTGGTGTCTCCGTTCCGGTCTCCGTCCCCCTTGAGCCTCCAGTAGAGCTCCTGCTGGTAGTTGGCCTCGTTGAGGTGCCACTTCCAGAGGCCGCCGTCCGTCTTGTTGTGAAAGGCGACGGCCACGTTCGTGCCCAGGACGTCGTAGTCGACGATCTGTCCGTAGAGGTTGGCCTTGGTGGTCTCTTGCTCGTTGTCGTTGTCGTGCTTGTGCTCGTCGTCGTTGTCGTGGTCGCCGACCAAAAAGTCCATGAGCAGGCCCTCGATGGTCTCGATCCGGCGGGTCTGGTCCTTAACCCCGAGGGCGGCGATCGATCTCCCGGGCGGCCGGGCCGGGCCGGTGCAGGTCGAAGCGACCGAGTCGGTAAAGCCAAAGAGCAGGAATTTTTCCCACAGGCGGTCTTTTTCGTGGTTCTTGGAGCCGCATCCCGAAAAGGCAAAGGAGACGTCAAAGCTGTGGTCGGGCATGAAGGCCTCGTCAAAGGCCCCGAGCTTCTCCGCGTCGTTCCCCCAGGAGGAATCCAGGTAGAGGCACTCCAGGGAGATCCCCGGATCGATGGACAGTAGGTAGGACGGGCACCGGGTGCCGGGGTCGAGGTCGAGGTCGTTGCCGGAGGGCTTGCCCACGCTTTCCTCCATGGCTTGCACGCCCCGGTTTTGCTTTTGCTTTTGGTTTTGGTTGTCGGTTTCGTTGTCGATTTCGTTTCCGACGAAAAAGACCGTCACCTCCTCGACCGATCGGTGGAGGGAGAGCTCCGAGAGCAGGTCCCCCGCCAGCCTCCCGTGGTCGGCAAAGGCGTCGACGGCAACGGCCACCCTTTCTGGGGGGTGCTCGAAGTTGTCTCCCGTCCCTCCCACCAGCATGGTGGGGTGGACGACGTACTCGGCGAATTTCTTGCGGCGGGCGGCGGCCAGCTTGCGGCGATCGCGATCGGGGGCCCTCGAGGCGTCCTCCGAAAACCGGGGGGGGGCGGTCCTCGTCCTCGAAATCGCCCTCGCCCCCGCGGTTGCTTCCGCCCGGTCCGAAGCGTGCCGAGGGGCAAGGGGAGAACCCGTTTCGAAGCCCGCTTGCGAACCCGCTTGCGAGCCCGCTTCGAAGCCCAGCGACTCTTGCACGAGCAAACGCAGCCGCCCGCTCGGATCGGCGGCGTTCCGGCCCAGGAAAAAGCCCATCGGGGAGACCAGCGCCAGCCAGAAAAGGCACCTCGCGAGGGGGACCCTGCGGTGGTCCTTCCCGTTCTTGCCCATGGCGGTTTGGTTTGTCTTTTTCTTTCTGTTTGGGTTGGCCTTGTTGTTGCTATTGCTGTTGTTGTTGTTGCTATTGCTGCTGTTGTTGCTATTGCTGCTGAGGCTGCTCAGTCCGCTGCTGCTGCTGCTGTGGCTGCCGAGGCTGCTCAGTCCGCTGCTGCTGCTGCTGCTGCTGCTCTGGTTCTCGCTCTGGTGGTCCCCGTCCTTGTCCTTCCGATTCTCGCTCTCGCTCGATCCCGGGAGCAGTTTCAGTTTCCTCGCAACGTGGTAGATCGCCAGGCTCACAATCAGGAATCCGCAACAGATGGTCCCGTCGTCGCGGAGGAGTCGATCCAGGAGCGGGTGGAGCGGCGCTGCTGCTGCTTCTTCCGGCGGTGCTTCCGCCGGTGCTTCTTCCGATGCTATCGTGGCGTTGTGGGTGGTGGCCGGGAGAAACGACCGGATCGATCGGCTGTGGTGTGGTGTGGTGTGGTGGCTGGCGGAGAATGTGCTTTGGTGTGGTGTAGTGTGGTGTGCTTTGGTGCAGTGCCGTTCGGTGCAATGCGATGTGTTGCCTCCTGCTGCTATGCAATGCGTCGCACTCGTACTCGTACGAGTAAATCGTATCGCATCGAACCAGCGTTTCCGTTTTTCGGCCGTGCTCGTGTCCACTACCAGTACCTAACTAGAAGTACCGAACTAATATCTCCTTTGGATTCGTGCCCGTGCTCTCAAATCACACGGTGAGGAGTTCATCCCAACAATCAATCCCAACAACTCCTCCGACCGTACCGTTACTACGTACTCCCGTAGGTTCTTGTACTAGAACAAGTAGAACGGATGGAACGGCAGACCCACCCATCGGAGACGACACACACATACTACTGGTACTCGTACCGGTACTTGTACTCTTACTCGTACTTGTACGAACGTGGCCACGAGGCAACAACAGTACAAGTACTTCTGTATGGTAGTTGTGGTACAAGTACCGTACCGTACGCACTATCCTGTGATCCCGCTTTTGTTCGTTACAGTATTCGTTCATTACTGTACTGTACGGTAGTTACGTACCTTGTACTACTGTAACGCATTGGCTGGTCGTTTGTGCATCCATGTACCGTACGGTACGGCGGTATCGGTAGCAAGGCTTCCAAGAATTTCTTTCTGGAACGGTTTGAATTTCTGTTTTTCTCAGCTACGAGTAAAGTACTTGGGTACGTACAGTACGGAACCGTACGGTCGTTAGGAACGTGCTGTGTCCGAACGCAGTCCCGACCCTAGCCCAACGGCTCTATTTTTTGGACACATGACACATGACCCATGTCATAAATAACAAAGTACGTACCGTACCGTACGAGTTAATTCGCAATAAAATTACCCCTAAAATTAACGATTTTTGACCCCTCACCACCTGTAACTTTCGCAGACTAGTCCTTAGCCTACATGGAATCMTTAAGCATCCCAATGAYCTAGATCTYTAAGTAATTGTATCATCTTKGTCTGGGCGCTTAGTCCGGTGGTCTAAAGTTGTTTTTTGATAGAGCTCTGGCCTATTTTCTAACCAGTAGCCGGTCTCCAATGGCCAAATCTGGCCATACCTGCTGTTAATGGAGAACCGGGTCACCCTTGGCCCTTAATCATGTAACAATGACACACAGCACTCTTCTTAACACTATGACCGAGCATATCCCCAAAGGGGATCTCATTTGAGCCAGTTCTTGAGCACTTTTAATGGCCTCAATAACACTGTTTGTGGTCAAAAAGTGACTGAAAACTCGTAGATCTATGTAGGATCAGTACTAAATATTGGGCTTCAAAATTAACCGTGATTTTACTAGTAATAATTTTGGCGTTTGAGTAGAATGCCTTTTTTCTATGTAGGGCGTGGTAGGCTTTTTACGGTTAACGCACTTTATATCGAATTAACTGGTACCGTACATAGCTACGAACGTTGTCGTAACCATAGCATGGTCCGGGGTCATAATTTAGAGGCGAGGGGAACGCATCGAATCCAAATTTCATATTCCACGTGTGGTCCAGATTTCCAAAAAGTCACCAACAGCATATTTTTTTAATTCTTGTTTTTACTGCATAATACTAGTAAAACTACTAGTAGTATCCAACCTTGAAGCAGTTACAGCTTTATCAAAAATACTTGTAGTATTTTGATTTTTGAGTAGCCACTCTAATACAGTCTTTCATGCTGATTCTGAATATACAATTTCCTTGGATATAGAATTGATGTTTGCTTGTGGTACTATTTTACTAGTACTGTTGAATAATGAACATGAAAGATTTTCCATACTACTACTACTAGTAGTACTACTAGTAGTAGTAAATTTGCTCCAAAACCACCAGGCATATTGTGAGCACCAAAGTTGCTCAAAATATAGTGTTTGGTGACTCTATTTAGCACCACATCCCCCCCTTTGCACCAATAGCCACCAGGACTGTATCCTTAGATTCCTCTTGTAGTAGTACTAGTACTAATCCATGATGTTTTGGGAATAATGGAGGACTACACAGGGACAAAATACCAGTATTTGCTGGCAAGGGACCAAAATCAATGTGAGGGCCAAACTATTGTCTAAAAATTATTTCCACCTTTATTTTTGCTTCACAGATGGTTTGGACCCTGGCAGGGTTGACAGAAGAAGCGACCGAGATGATGCCAACCACAAAAAAGAAATAGTAGCTCCACCACCATCACTGCCCCAGCAACAAACAGGACAGCAGCAACACCAATTGCAACATCAACAGGAAAAGGCAAACAAAGGCAAAGGCAAAGGCAACCACTGCAACTATGGGTGCCCGTGATGGTGGCAATGGCAATGGCAATGGCAATGGCAATGGCAATGGCAATGGCAATGGCAATGGCAATGGCAATGGCAATGGCAATTGCAATGGCAATGGCAATGGCAATGGCAATGGCAATGGCAATGGCAATGGCAATGGCAATGGCAATGGCAATGGCAATGGCAATGGCAATGGCAAT